TTCGCCCTCTAAAATACCAAATATTTTCGGGGTCCGCTGCCAGGGAGTAGGGGCGGGGGCAGTGTCGGCTTCGCATCTGCGGGTGTCATTCGTTAAAAACGGAGCCTCCCTTCAAATAATTCTGGATCCGCCCCTGCAAAGTTAGCCTACTAGGTCTACTCTGACTTGTGAAAATTTCAGCGGCTATTTGGATTATTTTCCCATTATCTACAGTTTTTATCTGACCAATAGTTTGAAATGTAAAGTACTGTCATGCGTAAAACCGATGTACCGGGGTAACAGGAATGTTTGTCCCCCATTACTGGTAGGCTACTGTGTGCAAAAACCCAAATACTCCGACTAACCATAACCTGTATTAATTATATGAGACCCCATTCCTAGGACTACAATTCCTGTCACACCGATATTTGAAACACTAACCCTAACTCTCTGAGAAGGGCTAAAGTCTGAAAGATTTGTGAAGGAAACACTTCTTATAAAGAAAATAGCTGAAAACACGCCTGGCATCAGAGATATCATCGCTTAAAAACGCAGACAAAACATCTCTGACCAAATACTTGTGGGTAGCACGACAAGTCTTACCAGTTGGACTAAACTGCTTGCATGACCTACCGTACCCCCGCAAACAAGCGTGACCCGCTGTTAATGCCCCAACGGAATAATAATAAAAAACATAGAACGCGATCCTAAGGCCAGGGGGTGCCACATCAGGCACCCACGCCGTCTCACGCCTGGGGAGAGGTACTACAGTGTACCACTACTCACCAATCACTTAATCACTTAGTACACCCTTAATAGTTACTCAAACACTATCAGTAATGTTTAACTCGTGACCAGTGGACATGGACGAACATTCCTTGGGTGCAGTAATTAGTTTGTACAGTCTTTGATTTATAGTTGATTTAAAGAGATCAAGGCCTACTGGTTGAGTCATTGGTTTCAACGTTTATTGGAAACCCTGGCACTACTACATTGACATGCGATCTCTCTTTTACATAACGCGTATGCTCAAGATGAATATATACCATATTGGGCAGCGATTTTATGCAGTTGAGATACATGTGCTGTATATTTAATTGTTTGAATGAAAATATAACGTCACGACCAAAACAATGATTTAAATGATATGATGATAACCCCCTTAAAAGATGAAAAAACAAGATAAAGGCGCTCGCAATAGTAAGGCGATATACAGATACCTTGTAAAATGCAACTTGGCCCATCATATGCATAAGCTGTTTTTGCTTAAACCTATTTTGACTTAAAAAAAGTTTCGTGTAACGATCAACACAAGGCGCCTATATAGTGGATAGTTAAGCATCTTTTTAACTTTTAATATATTAGCTGTTATACATCTTTGAAATAAAAAAGTTAAGAAATATTACAACTATATAGGACACAACTAAAGCTAACATAAAACACGCAATGTCAATGCTAATTAGTTACGTGTACGTTATCGTAATTATAGGTCGTGGGGGATATCAAGATAAGAATACTGATACCTTAAGAAAGGAAGTGTATTGAGCTTTCTTTTTTCAAATACTGAACAAGAAAATGTATAGTTTTATTGTAAGTAAGTTTTACTGTGCGAATAATTTGAATAAATGTTCCATTAGAAACTTGTCCTTTTTTTAACACGAAGAACGTTGCCTCAGGCAAGTCCTACTAAGAGGCATGCGCCAAAACTTCCTTCTAGACAGGATACTTAGAGATAAAGTAATGACGTAATTCACGCAGATAATTCTTACATTCCCGACAGCTTGACCCACCTTTGTAGACAATATCATCACGCTTTACCCTTGCTCCAAGTTTCTACATCCCGCTTTAAATAAATAAATTTTAAGTAACAATTGTAGCCCACACTCCTCTAAGATGTCCCAAAGGAATAATGATAAAAAACCTTCCTAGGTGCAACGGCTCGAGGGGCTTGGAGCACGTGCGGTAAAAAACAGACTCTCACCTGCAGACACCTAAGTCGCAATAAAAAAACGGGGTCACTTCGAGTCGTGACGCCGGCTATCCTTGCTAGTCTATTTTAGGAACAAAACGCGGAAGACAAATGGGATAATATTAATAGATGCCATGTCCGGTCGCAATTAGGCCACGCGTTTGTGAAGTTAAAGGCTACTCGCGTCATTTGCAAACGTTAATATTCCAGTCAAAAAATAATTAAATAAATAAAGCAATTAATGACTGCATTCAATTAGATTTTCTTTCAAATGCTAAATTTAACTCTCTTAACTAGGACCGCTTTCTTTATTTGGAAATTAACAATTAAATTAACTTGAATTCAGTTTATTTGAAATAGATCAGTTACATGTAGTGCATTTAATAAATTTTAATCTTAAAGAACTGCATAAATCAATTGATAAATTGGCAGATGATAAAAGAACCAAAATTAAGTCATCACCGTAACAAATTAATACACGAACTATATTTTAAAGAATACTAAAATGCTTTTTTTTCAGTCTTGAGAAATACCTTATCCTTCAACCATGTCAACATAAGTATTTTGTCAAAGTGTCACTTCATGTCCGGCACACCAAAACATCCAACTAAGTTGGCCTTTTATTGGTCACAATTTGTCATTTATTGTCATAAATGCCAATTAACAACGGTGCGTCCATCCGTACTAGGCAGCGAAAACCTCACCGCGTGTCTTGGTCAGTCAACAAGAGACGACCTATGAGGAAATGTCTTTAATAGACGTCATTCATTTCAGCGGACAAATCCCGATGTTGTTTACTATGCTAAAATATGCAGGAGTGTCACGCACTGGTTGTTCCTATGCACGCTGCACCCCGGCTGCTATTAGACCTGATAATGGGATTGGGAGGAATATATATAAGAGGTGCCGCTTCCCTGGCCTGATTATAATTTTAGTTCACTTTGGTGAACATCAACGGTCACACAGAGAGTGGTTTAGCCTGGATTATTTTTATACCTCTTTTGTTTTAAAAATGTGGACGCGGCCTGTGTTTGGTGCCGTCGTGGCAGCGATGTGGATTGCGTGTGCTTATGGATATGATAGGTTAGTTCAAATGTTTACTGATATTTTTCTTTTTTCATTTTTCTCTGTTTATATTTTCGATCTGCTGTAGCGTCTTTCTTGTGCCAAAGAACATTTTACCATTCAATGCTCTAGCTCTGGTTTAAATACAAATCATGGGACCAGTATACAAACGTCTTGGAGGCTTGTTAGCTTAAAAAGTGTCCATATATTACCAAAATGAAGTTAAGTGCTTGTTTATGCTGATTTTATGGTCGACGATACCTTGAGTTAAAGCTCAATATAACAGCGGCTTAAGTTTTTATAATTTGGCGATCTAACGACTTGCTTTAATACTTTAAAATTTATTTTTCAAAGATTCATTGCATTATATTTCAGTTCCTACATAATGATTTCCCCCAGAAGATTCCGTCCTGGTTTGACTTACGACATTAGCGTGTCCATATTAAAACTGGACACCCCGAACTTACCGGTGACAATTACCGCCGTCATTGACCGAAACGGCACGGCAATTGCTGGCGGTGTCGGCGTGTTTCGTCTCGGTAAGGATTTAATTACATATTTAATTACATGGTCAGACACATAATTAATCTAGTAAAGGGACATCAGTAATAGATGTACGGTTTGAAATAGCGCTCATGCGTCGGACGTCCTTCTCTTTTTATAACCCCCACCCTCTAAACCAATCGGGCACTCGTCGAAACCCTTGACATTATTTATAGGTTAATAATTATGTAAAATGTCTATGTAAAACATGAAGGGATTGTATAATTCCAAGGAGGCTTATGTGGCGTTTGAGACAGCATTCTTTCTATCACTTTATCCATCTTCGATCTGCATATTTATGGCAGAAGAAGACAGGCAGGTCAACAGTCTTGCTCTGCTGGCACTTGTTCTGGTTCGTAAGTGAATGTTAAAGATGACCCTCTATCTCCACGGTGCCCTGATTACAATACTGATGTGAAGATACCGGTACTGCTAGATATACGGCTGGTTTATACTTTATCTCGCACTCGTTCGATGTGGAGGAAAGGGACAGTTTGAGATAAACCGAGATCTAACATGGTGTCAACAGAGCTTGTTTACAGAAGAAATGTTATTATTTATCCCAGTGCCGTGCGTGCATGACAGGTCCCGACTGTGGCATGTACTGTGATAGTATGTACCGTATATGAAGGTACGCAGTTGTTAGCTTCATGCCTTTAAAGAGACACCGTATCTGCAGTATAATTGATGTCCTCATTCCAATTTGATTCCCTTTATCTGTAAAGGTGTATGCTTTATCAAGGAGTCCGGATATGTAATAGCAAGCGTTGATGTTTTCTCCAAACCACGAATGACTGTTAAGGCTTTTATCGTTTAAAGATAATGGAGATGTAGCACCAAATTACCAGCGGTTAACCTTATTTGACACATCTCAAATTTAAATTAAAAAATACACACTGAGCAAAAATATAAACGACCCACGCAAAACTTAGATACATGTTTTTAGCATTATGGGTTATGTATATATTTGTTAAATCATTCAGGGTCAGTTTTGTTGTTCAGTGTACTCCAGATTAAAAATAAAATTATAAGACAACACCCGCTCATTTGGAGTTGGGCTCTATTACATGTCACGTAAATAATTCACATGGGATATTTTTGCTTAGCATATTTACATGCATTATATCTCTGAATGTTAATGACATCTTATAAAATATCCGAATAATTTTTCTTTTCTTTTTTTTATTTATTTTAGGTTCATCTGGGACACTGTCGATTCAGGTAAGCTCTATCTTTTAAGTTCATTCTCTCTCTCTCTTTCTTTCTCTCCATTTATATACATTAGCGCAACACATGCACTCATTTTACATTTGTAATATATATATTCAAAGTAGAGTTATCATTTAATTACGCAACTAGCGCCTGGCTCTTATTGACATTTTAATATATTCCACTTAAAAGTGCAGAGACTAAAACGGGCGACTATAGCGACGGAAGGAGTCAATTAAACCACTCCTAATCACCACTTCAAGCTGCACTAAACATGTAAAATACATGAAAAAAAGTACTAGAAGCATTTACTTGCTTGTGGTATGTTTATCCAAGAGTTTTAGTGCAGCTCATTAAAAATAAAGATAACAGATTATATTATCCTCAAATGTACGAAGCAATTACATGTTGTAAGTATACATGACACTCCGCATAGGTCGATCCCATCTGATAACAAAACTGGCTTTCGGCAAAACAGGTTGTCACATTCATGAATATTGTTCCTTTCCATCTTCTCAAAACTAATCACAACCTGGGCGTTGATTAAAGCGACATAACCGACTCTATGAGAAATACAAAAATTGAATGTGCTCCGTCTTTATTTCTACAAAATACATGCACAACGTGCGTAGATAAGAACACGTGAACAATTTTGATAAAAGTAGCGCTCCTGCTAATTTATCTGTTAAGCTATTTATCTAATCATATTTTTATTTATTTCGAAATAATTGCCGTAAGAGATAATAGCGGTTTATTCTAACATGAAGATAGCACAGATATTAAAACTGTTTCATGCTGTAGCAACCGTTCTCACGACCATTCTTGTAGGTACCGAGAGATATAGAACCCGTCAATGTCTACAGATACTACACTTATTACGGAGACTTCAAGTTAAAAGTGATAGGTAATGGCGGCCTCACCTTCACCAATGAGACGTGGTTGCAGTTTGATTCCAAAAGTCTCTCTATCTTCACCCAGACAGATAAAGGGATTTACCAACCGGGACAGACAGGTGAGTGTCGTGACGAAAGTAGCTTCACTGGCTAATTAATATGTTCACCAACTAGTATACTGTACATGTATGTGTACTGCTAGTGTATACAATGGTCAGCTTTACCCACTACTCTTTTCTATTAGCTGTTTCATGGCCGCTCCCTCAATTCGCAGGTCTTATATTTTATGTTAATTAAAGATGGCAAGGAACATAGACAAGTGTCAGATCATCATAAGTACTTTATTATTCGCAAATCTGCTTTGAAAAAAGACGCTTCGTTTGTCATGTTTCGCCCACCTTTTAACTATTGCCCACTTTTTCATACACTTAATAAATGTTTAAATACACATTGCAACATCCAAACAGATATAAATCACTCACAGTTGTCTAAATATACCNATTTTAGGTTCATCTGGGACACTGTCGATTCAGGTAAGCTCTATCTTTTAAGTTCATTCTCTCTCTCTCTTTCTTTCTCTCCATTTATATACATTAGCGCAACACATGCACTCATTTTACATTTGTAATATATATATTCAAAGTAGAGTTATCATTTAATTACGCAACTAGCGCCTGGCTCTTATTGACATTTTAATATATTCCACTTAAAAGTGCAGAGACTAAAACGGGCGACTATAGCGACGGAAGGAGTCAATTAAACCACTCCTAATCACCACTTCAAGCTGCACTAAACATGTAAAATACATGAAAAAAAGTACTAGAAGCATTTACTTGCTTGTGGTATGTTTATCCAAGAGTTTTAGTGCAGCTCATTAAAAATAAAGATAACAGATTATATTATCCTCAAATGTACGAAGCAATTACATGTTGTAAGTATACATGACACTCCGCATAGGTCGATCCCATCTGATAACAAAACTGGCTTTCGGCAAAACAGGTTGTCACATTCATGAATATTGTTCCTTTCCATCTTCTCAAAACTAATCACAACCTGGGCGTTGATTAAAGCGACATAACCGACTCTATGAGAAATACAAAAATTGAATGTGCTCCGTCTTTATTTCTACAAAATACATGCACAACGTGCGTAGATAAGAACACGTGAACAATTTTGATAAAAGTAGCGCTCCTGCTAATTTATCTGTTAAGCTATTTATCTAATCATATTTTTATTTATTTCGAAATAATTGCCGTAAGAGATAATAGCGGTTTATTCTAACATGAAGATAGCACAGATATTAAAACTGTTTCATGCTGTAGCAACCGTTCTCACGACCATTCTTGTAGGTACCGAGAGATATAGAACCCGTCAATGTCTACAGATACTACACTTATTACGGAGACTTCAAGTTAAAAGTGATAGGTAATGGCGGCCTCACCTTCACCAATGAGACGTGGTTGCAGTTTGATTCCAAAAGTCTCTCTATCTTCACCCAGACAGATAAAGGGATTTACCAACCGGGACAGACAGGTGAGTGTCGTGACGAAAGTAGCTTCACTGGCTAATTAATATGTTCACCAACTAGTATACTGTACATGTATGTGTACTGCTAGTGTATACAATGGTCAGCTTTACCCACTACTCTTTTCTATTAGCTGTTTCATGGCCGCTCCCTCAATTCGCAGGTCTTATATTTTATGTTAATTAAAGATGGCAAGGAACATAGACAAGTGTCAGATCATCATAAGTACTTTATTATTCGCAAATCTGCTTTGAAAAAAGACGCTTCGTTTGTCATGTTTCGCCCACCTTTTAACTATTGCCCACTTTTTCATACACTTAATAAATGTTTAAATACACATTGCAACATCCAAACAGATATAAATCACTCACAGTTGTCTAAATATACCTAGTGTTTGCTGCTTAAATTTAAAAATATTTTTGATCATTCGAATGGAGCAATGAATTATTCAACCAGTACTCATATTTAATTTAAAATCGCGCACTCTAGGGCAGTTGTTGCATTAACTATAACCCTCATGATATGCAGATAACTCAGGTATAAAGCTGTCATTTCTATTATTCTAACATGGCTGTAATGATTTCCTCGGTGACTCATTCCTTGCAGAGTTATGTCTTTCGCGTTGTCATGGTGTAATAACATCACATTTGAGAACTTTATGTTGAATTTTATTTTCCAGTTCGCTTCAGGGCATTCGCCACTGGTCCCGACTTGAAACCCATCATTGCTCCTATGACAGTTGAGATATACGTAAGAGTGTTTCTTTTTTAGCCTCATAATTATTAGATAGATGTAATTGAACCTTCGGAAATCTAAAAAAATCTTTATTGCCCATTTCGATTGATATGCATCTTGTTGATATGGATGTGTAATTTTGTTTAGAAATTCATGAAAAATTAAAATGATCTCAAGTAATATCGTATCTTGAAAAACGTTGAAGCTCCGCTTTTCACTCCTGGGAGTTTATTTATGGATGTTTACAACTAAAAAGATCATGAACGTAAACATCCTTTCCACAAACAGAAACTGAAAATTGTTTATTAACCAGGACGCCAGAGAAAATCGAGTAAAGCAGATGATCGACGTCCAGGGAGAGGCTGGCATAGTAAGCAGTGAAATGGCGCTGCCTTCCGAACCAGTCTTGGGAGATTGGAAAATAAAAGTCAAGATCTTGGTAAGTCTTCGGCATGATTGCCGTGGTTTTAGTGGTAGCCGACCTGTGATTTGGAAATCCTCGGCCAATTTCGTCCTGCGAAACGGAAACACGCGAGGTTGGCCAATATACTTTCCTTATGGTAATTTTTTTTTCAAAATTGGATGGATGTAAAATTTACTTCTTAGAAATTGGCACAAAGTTGTAAAGTATAATGATGTCTCAAGAATCTGCCAAATATTAAATTGGAACTTAATTAATCACAGTTACTGTCCGAGATCTTTAGTGGTAAAATATTTTATCAAACTATTAGTCTTATGTACATTTCCAACTTGCAGGGAGAAAGTAAGGAAACAGAATTTGAGGTCGACGAATATGGTAAGCATGATATTGTCTTAGATCAGACATGTTTACATTGAGAAGTTTTATATAAGGACCTGATAAAAGATGAAAATGATAAGCATTTTAGAAATGTGAATAAAAAGCACAGTTTAAAGTAATAAAAACTTTATTCCTGACTAATATAAGATAATTTTATCTTGTTTTCACTCTAAAGCTCCTTATATGTCATGTAGTAGTACCATTATTTAATACCTTCATTCTGTCTGTTATCAGTTTTACCGAAATTCGAGGTCAAAGTTGAACTTCCACCATATATCTTAGAGGACGCCCCTTCAATTACTGGAAAAGTTGTTGCAACGTAAGTTAAAAGAACTATTATTACCAACTAACCAATTAGCGAAATAATTAAATAATTTTTTTTTAATAATAAACAATAACAATGTCATTTTGATAAAGACATGCAGTAAGATGACAGTGAATTTAAGTCATTTTTTGCATACAGTTAAAATGAGGGTAGTTACTTTTAAACACGCTTAACTTTTCTGAAGTTCTTAGAATAACCGTGAGGGTTGATTGCATGTTTGCAACAACAGAACTTAAATGCTGCAACATGGTGCAGTGTAAAGAGCTTCATCCCTACATAAAGATAAGGACAAAGATATATATCGCTTATAATTATCTATTTATTTATTTATTTAAATATTTATTTATTTAAATATTTATTTATTTGCACAATAGATACACCTATGGTAAGCCTGTGGAAGGTACCGTTACTTTGAGAGCTGTTCCCACTTGTTGTAAGAAATACAGGTACAACGGAACGTATGGTGTTGAACAAAGAATGGTGGTAAGTAAATTCTTCCTCTTTACTAAGCCATTTCATATTTTAAAAGCTTTTAAGCCAGGTTATAAGGCTAACTTTGTTTGGAATACTTTCGCAATGCCATTATTTTAAAAGTTTCTGCTGCTCACTTCCATTCTGTATTAAGCATTTAAGCATTAAAGTTGACTTTTATCACTATTGCTAATGACATTGCAAGTGAAATAAAGGCACCGGATAGCTGACTAAATGGGATATTTTGATATATTTCAGTTGGACAAAGTGACAGGGGAAGCGTCCTTCACTCTTCTCAGGGAAGACTTACTGATAGGCCACAATAATATATACGGGATTGAGGTGAAAGCGAACGTGACAGAGACCCTCACTGGCATCACGCTTTCTGGAGAAGAATCTAAATACTTCGTGAACTCGCCATATAAGGTCGAATGGCTGCAGAACTCCCCCAGCTCCTTCAAACCTGGCCTGGCCTATAAAGGATATGTAAGTTTTTTTTTTCAAAGTGAATTAAAATTTGATTTCATTCCAGGATGCTTCATGATCGAAACATGACTGAGTATTAGATAGATATCTCCTTAACGCGTTCACATGCAGAAGAATGTAATCCTGCTAGTGATATTACATATTCCACATTACGTTAAACCAAAATTGTCCTCGACCGGTTCGAAACTACTCGTAGGTCACACCTGTTAACATCGTGGAAACACGGTTGATTCTTATCACCAAGCACTTGCAAATAAAGTAAGCTCTGTGGTTAAATTGTAGATGCATGGGAAAACCTATTAAACAAAGCAGTATGATTGATGAACACATATAATACACTACTTAATTGTCCCGGGTGCTTCTATTTCCTTAATAAAAAAATTAAAAAATGCGTATTACATGTACCAGCGATGCTATTATAATTTTTTAGTTTCATTATATGTTTTCAAGACATTGGTGATGGTTTAAATTATAATGGTTTAGCACTGAAATGGAAATTTTATGGTTAAAACTAGTCAGTTTTTTTAACGCCCTGGTTAATGTTTGTGAATTACAGACATTAATTTTGGCATAAAACATAACGTCATTTATGGCGTTTTTTTAAGGCTAAGGCTAAGACCTCTAAATCGCTAAATCGGTATATTCTAAAACTTTTTCAGGTGAAAGTTACATACCAGGACGACACGCCTTTAGGAAAACCCGCCACACTGAACATCACATCCACGGTGAGATACAAGAACCCCAACCCAGACCCAACCCCTTCTCCACCGTTCATCCAACCCGTGCCCCTTAAACCCGTGGGCATTGCCAAGCGTTCCATCGCCTTCCCCGGACCGTGGTGGTACGATCCCTTACTGTCAAGGGAGGGACCATCTATGCTGCTGTCCATCCCAGAGGACGGGATAGTGGAAGTGACCCTCACGCCACCAAGTGACGCCCAGCAAATGGATTTAAGGGTGAGTATCGTTGGAACACTAGAATAAAACGAATTGTTTATACGATAGAGTGATTAGTAAATATAGGAAAAACATGAGAGTAGAGATGAGAAAGGCTTCTATAATGGTAACAGTCAAATTTACTCAAAATTAATGTAATATTATCATCTTCAATTTCTTCCAACCCTTCTCCCCGAGAAAACTATAATAATAATAATAATAATAATAATAATAATAATAATAATAATCGTTCAATTGCAATTTGTACAATAGAAACTAAAGTAACCCGTCTCTTTTAGGCTGAATATGAAAAGAGGACAGGTTACAGGAATATTAACAGGATGCACTCCCCCAGTGACAGCTATCTACAACTGTTAGTAATCACAACGGATGCCGTGGTGAGTAAGAACATAAACTTGGTAGTGGAAAGTTATAGTACCTGTATATCACTACTCAAGAATGACGGCTTATGATGGCCTTGAAAATAGATGTCAAACGCTGTTTGCAAATTTACCCTGAACGTGTTCATTCATAGGGTACTTACATATGGTAGTATTTTTGTGCGTTCGGATTACCCGTAGGCCCTACTAAGTACAGTACCTCGCATTTGCATATCGTACCCCTTTTCAAGTATTTACGATAACATTCTTACTTTTTTAGGCGGGACAATATGCCACATTTGCTGTGACTACTACTGAACAAGTCGACCAGCTGAACTATCAGGTAGGGTGAGCCTGAACACTTTCGGACCACGTGACGAAGTGGTTCACGTCATAAACTTCGCTATCGGCGGGAAAAAAATTGGCGCGGAGATTGAAATGCAAATAAAATTTTTCACTTAGTTAATGTGGACAATACTTACACATAATTTTGTTCAGTAAATAAGTTTGTAACCCACCCATTTAGAAGTCAATGGCATAATCGAGATAGTTTTTAAAGAAGAAACATTTACAGTATCAGAACATTAATTCACTCGATATTCATACCGGAACCGTCTACATTAATCTACTGACGGTGAATTGGTAGACAATACATATAGCTACTGTACAGGTTATATACATGTATACATAATAGACCCTACTCGGGGGGACATCGTACCTGATTGTTTGCAGTACTTTCTAAATTCATATTCTTAGGTTTTGGCTAGAGGCGAAATAGCAGCATCTGGGGTTGTCACGCTGACCAGTTCAAGCACTTTCCGCATCCCTCTGACGTCATCGATGGCCCCCCGCGCCCAAATGGTTGTGTACTATGTGAGACCTGACGGCGAGATTGTCAATGACGGCGTGAGCTTCAATGTAGAAGGCGCTATTCAGAACATGGTGAGTTGGCAACGAATAATTTTTTTCTTTGAAATGAAGTTAAGATTTATTTTTTCTAGAGAAAAAATATCAGCTTGTGTGTTTAGGGGGTTTATAAATAAATAAATAAATTTTCATTAAAAGCTTTGCGGGACAATTCATTAGAAAATGAAACTGCTTATCATAAAAAAACTAAAATTTTATTTCAATCAATCCTAAGTAAAATTTGAAAAATAAAGATAAATAAATGTCACCATAAATTAATCGTTTATTATCTTTGAAATTGTTACTTCAGGTCTCTCTGAATGCGTCCAGAAGTGAGGCCGAACCTGGACAGAGTGTGGACCTCAGAGTAAGAGCTGACCCTAACTCTGTGGTCTGTCTCCTGGCTGTTGATCAGAGCGTTCTGTTGTTAAACAAGGGGAATGATATCACAAAAGATGGCGTAAGTGCTTCAATGGCGACATGTACTGACAGTCAAGCACGTCCTCTTGTAAAACTATTACGTTGACTTTTAAACAAATCGACATGAAGTAAAATTACTCGTTTTTAAAATTGCAGAATGATTTTATACACGATGGGTTTGATAATACATACTCGGCCTTATGTGATGTACAATGTTTCTGATGAATAGATACCAAGTTGCTTTGCTTTTAAACTGTTATAGACATGTACTACATGTATATTATGGTCTTTCGATGAAAAATAATTCAGATTATGGAAGAAGTGAACCAATACGGTGGATTTGGATTCTATCCCGGACCTTTCTACAGATACTGGTGGCCGTACAGTATCTCTGGGACCGACGCCAAGGACGTGTTTAATGTAAGTTAATAAATAAGGCTTGTTCCTAGCTTTAAAAAAAATTACTCCCCTCTTAAGTTTTTTTTTACTCAGTTATGAAAGGCATGGTCCATAATGTAAGGAATAACCCTTGCAATGGTTTATTATTTTATTTCCCATCAGTGTACCATGCTGTCTTTCAAAACCCGTTTGCAAGCAAAACGCCTCTGTACTATAAACAGAGAGATTCAATGCTTTATATCTTGCTGTTTACAGTACAAACTGTTTTAAGGGTGAAATATGTCTTTTACTGTTTCATACATCTAATTGTTAAATTTTACCTTATAGAACGCCGGGGTTATCATACTCACGGACGCACTGGTCTACGAAAAAATCGAGGGTAGGTTCTACTTTTTTCCTGCTTTAATGTCCCTTTTCCACAGGTACGGAGATAACCTTTGTGTAAAGTGGTGCTTATATTCTTAAAACGTTTTCACAACGATCTCCTTATTAGATATATAGGTCTCAATGATCATTATTTATCCTTCATTATTAATCAGAGTAAGACTTATATGACAGTACGCTTAATTTAATTACTTTCTTAAAGATTTACTTTATTACGAAAATATGTTTAAAGTAATATTCCTATCACATTTTACCTTCGGGTTTCCAAAAAACTGATCGAGCTTTGTCCTGTAATAGGATCCCGTCATATTAATTGTTTAAAGAATCAATCCTTTACACTGCACTGCTTATCCTGTAAAATCGCTTCTACTTGTCACCGCTTGAAATGCAATGAAACTAGCTTGTGTGTTCAGACAGGATTGCTTCGACCTGATATCGGCCTAAACTGCATCTTCTAACGACAGATTTGCTTTGTTAAAATCCTGGCGTCTGGTGACGCTTTTTAGACTAATACCCGTTCGAAAATAATCCTGATTTGAACAAAGCTTCGTTTCCCCCCGGCTTTCTATCCCTCATTCCCTCCACATTTGCAGAAGGCGGGGCCTACGCCCGTGGCGGAGGAGGTGGTGGTGGCGGTATTGCCTTTAGTGCCGTAGCTGACACTAATTTGGCGGCGGCACCCGGTCCTGCTGCAACCAGTGGTGGAGCAAGCGAAGGGCTTCAACCTGTGACCCGAGTAAGAAAATTCTTTCCCGAGACTTGGATATGGAGTAAGACAACTGTAAGGTATGTTATTTGATTGTAGAGAGGCATTGGTACCTAACAACAACATATCGGCCAACGGCTACATTCGCTACTACTACTTCAACTAGGCAACCCGCCACAACCACGGTGCCGCCTGTTGTATCAACGCCTACACGTAAAAGTGGGACTTCACCACGGGTGCGGCAATTCTTTCCGGAAGCTTGGATTTGGGACACATTCAGCATGAGGTGTGTAGCGGTATATAAATCCATAACCGTCGCTAGGTTGAGGCAGATCTTGGATGACAAGATTAATTTCCTGTTTTATTTCCTGGTACGGCTGTCCCCAAGGGGCCGTATCCGCCATTCCCCAAAACCACGGAATGACTTGCCTGTTTACGCGCATGTTTTGGTATGAATTAGTAAGGATTCTTTAATCCCATTGCAGTATTTAGGCCCATACCTTATTATAAAACCATTGACAGTATAGCTGAGGGGCCGTTGGGTGTACCCGGGGCTCCAGGCCCAGCACCCCCAGCTACCCAAGGCCCAACACAGAGTAACTTACAGCCTGTAACTCGAGTCAGGAAACTCTTCCCAGAGACCTGGATCTGGAGTAAAACAACTCTAAGGTATGGTATTGGCTTGTGGAAAAGTACGCACTCTACTGATCGCTCATATAACAAGTACGAGTACGCAAAGAACGAGGGATACCTAGGGCGGATAATCAGGATAATCACCACGCGCCTTTGCACTTCCGCTTTCTCTTTCACTAACGGGAACCCAAGCAAACCGAAGTGTTCTAGGGTCAGTGCAGTTTAACATGTGCTTCGTTATGTTCTCGACGTGAATGGGTCCGAAATATACCCCCAGCGTCTTATCGCATTGCAGTCCGAAGGCCTCTGCCTTATTACCCAGGTGTTGATGGCCTGGATGGCGCACCTGGAATGTTCCCGCCAGCTCCCATGCCGGTAGCATCACCTAGGGGATCGGGCAATAATGTGCAACCTGTAACTAGAGTCAGAAAGCATTTCCCTGAAACTTGGATCTGGAGTAAGACAACTGTAAGGTACGGTATAAAAACACCCTATCGACCGGTACTTCACAGGCAATAACCAATGCCTATGACGTCTACCGTTTCCCTGTGTACTTCCCAGAACAACCCCTGGGAGGCAGGACCGTGCTACTTCCACCACCACTAACAAGGAACATTCCAAAAGCAATCGTCGAATGGTATTGTGATAAATTCATGAATGCTTGTATTAGAAGTCCATTTTATCACATTGCAGCCCATAGACTTGTACCCAAATATTTGGAAATCGGTGACCGCAACCGTGCACTCGCGTCCGGTCCAGTTCCCGAAGAAAGTGTTGACTCGACTGATTCCTCGGGGAATGACTTACAGCCCGTGGGTAGAGTTAGGCAATATTTTCCCGAAACTTGGATTTGGTCCGAAGTTTCGTTGGGGTATGTCGTATTGAAATTGCGGCTATTTCACCATTTTACATTGGCCACTTACAATAGATGACTTCATAACCATGGGCATAAAAAGAAAATATCATAAAATACATGGTAGTTTATGTGGTTTGCATTTTCATTCGTGATCTGGTGAGTATTGATCCAGATATACACCCAAAAGGGAGTCGTTGCTTTTACACTGCCTGCTAAATATTGGCCTGAAATAGATAATATGTCGACTGATATTCATGAATAAGTCATTTAAAAATAGCCGCTATTTCTGATGTCGTTCAGCAGTCATTGACAGTAATTTTTGTTTGCGTGCAGTCACCATGGTGTAGGGCATGTAAGAAAGGGCGGGGAGTACTTAAAACTTGCTTCACAGTGTAGCCTGAAGCAGATCGATTGAACAGAAACGGATGGATTAGAGATTAGTGGCATAGAATAAAATGGAACGGGGTGAAAATAAACAAAATAGAACAGATATATAAAGGGTAAAATTCAGTATGATGTAATTAATAATTTTGTCATTTGCAAGATGAATTTATCAAGGTTAAAAATTTAATGTTATCTGAAGTTGTAAATATAAAATGTAATTTGTAATCGATGGAAATCATATGTTTGTCTTGTATATATGTACCAAAAAAATCATTTTCGTATTGTAATACACATACAAAATGTAAATTTCACAGGTGCCTAGCGAAAAGCAGTAAAAAAGCAACCCCCAAAGTTTATCTATTTATTTTATTCATTTATTTATGCATTCTGTGTGTGTTTCAGTTCCTCCGGCATGGCAGACATGAGCGTCGTGGTTCCAGACACCATAACCTCGTGGTCAGCCAGTGCGTTCGCTGTCAACCCAGTCACAGGTCTGGGAGTTGTTGATGACCCATCCAAGGTAAGAATGATGAACAGCACAGTTTAGATGCTGGTGATGGTGATATATATGGCATGAACCGTCATAGTCTTACATATGTTTTAGCGTTTCTGCTTTTTGGCAATTTCTGCTAATTGTTTTTTTTTTTTTTTTTTTCTTAATAAATAGACGATGCCTTTGTGGATGATAGCCTGTAATTATCGTTTTTTTTTTTTTTTTTTTTTTTGAAAGCAACGTATAATATTCTTGTTTTTTTTTATAAATCATTGGTATTAACAAGCAGACTTATCTTTTTTTCTCAGATTAGAGTGTTCCGTCCATTCTTCGTTTCCTTCAACTTGCCGTATTCTGTCACCAGGGGAGAAGAAATCATCTTACAAGCTGTCGTATTTAACTACATGGACAGAGAGCTGAACGTAAGTATCGGCAGAATTGCTCAACATATCAGAGTTGAATGTAGATACATTTCAAGAGAATGCCGTGTTGGAAACGGAACAAAGTTTATAGCCTTATTTAATTATCTAGTAATTAAATTACTAAATTATCTGTCATTTATTTATTTATTTATTATTATTATTAAATTCATTATATGCATGTTATTTTACCAATGGTCTTTTCTGTTGGTGATGCCTAGAGTTAGGGGTTATATAGTCTTTATAAGCTATTCAAATACTTATTGCAGGCAAGGGCTCATTTGGATTTGTGTCTTTTCAGGTAAAAGTTACCCTGCCAAATACAGGGGGATTCCTGAATATTGTCAGAAACATGTTTGGCGAATTTTCCACATCGGCCGAAGAGCAGGTTTTACGTATAAAGGTTGGTTGATAGTAATTCAAATTTCACGACCCTCTAAAATATTTTTTAAAAAGTAACGTTCAAGTTCGAATGAATATATATAATTATCTGTTAGAGATAGTAATATGTGAAAAACTCCCTTCTTATATGTAGCACCCATATTTTAATTTTTCATTTTTCCCTGTTGCTTGTTTCAGTTACAAGGTACAGTGTGTATATTTCTGTTTGTTCCGCTCACTATTTCATAAAACGAATACAGGAATAATAACAAATGATTCTACAAAAATAAAACCATTTCTTATAAGTTTTTTGTCAATATTATCATGTGAATCGGTATTGAAAGCACCCCCTCCTTAAAGTGATTTATTTGTCACCTTTAGGTTCCTGCCAACACCGGGAAGTCTGTCTTCTTTCCAATTGTTCCTGTTGCCCTCGGCAGGATTGACGTAGAGATTCGCGCCCAATCCAACATGGCCGCTGACGCAGTGAGGAGACAGCTTTTAGTGGAGGTAAGAGTGCATCAGGATTTCTTGATAATAATAATATGTCATGTTGTTGTCTGCTTTAGTTAAAAAGAAATATGTCACACAAATAAAAGGCTAAAGAACATGAATAAAAAATAAATAGAGAGAATAAATAAAAAAGGTAAAATATGACCATTGATTTATATGTGTATTTTACATGTGTAACTCACATGATGTGTAACTGAAGTGTTTTGTTCGTAACCAGGCTGAGGGTCTAGAACGTGAACTGAACAGAGCAATGATTGTTGATTTGTCTAAATCAAGAACCTTCTCGGCCAACGTTGATCTTGCATTACCCCAAGGCGTTGTTCAAGGATCTGCCAGGGCGTCTGTCTCTGTCATAGGTAGGTACGGTGACCTGTCTGCATTAAGAAGGATACAGAACTTGTCATTTTGACATTTTAAAGGAATGGGCGTGATTTAAAGATAATCCCTATACTACTGTGATCTTGAAAATTGTAGACGTTTATTTATCTGCGTCAGTACATATTTGGCACTGTATCGTTGTGCATCCACGTAAGCGCTTATTTTTACTTCTTATATTCCAGGCGATTTGATTGGAAATATTGTTGAAAACCTAGAGCATTTGATGCGCTTGCCATCTGGGTGCGGAGAGCAGACGATGGCTGCTTTGGCGCCAGATGTATTCGTGGCCAAATATTTCAAAGCGCTTGGCCAGTTGGTGGAACCTATAAAATCTAAACTAATTGGGTTTATGGAGAAAGGTACGGACTGGTCTCGATTTTTCTATACCTTTTCGTCGTTTTCTGTTAAGTGACCTCCAACTGAAGACGTAAATTACACAATTAATAGTTGTTATTTGGGAAACCTGTAGTTGGTTATTTAAGCCTATACACGGAGACCAGTTGCACCAATTAAGTTTTTATTATGATGTTTAAAGGTATATACTGTGATGCTTCAATTGTCACGTTTTCTCTAGGTGTTATGCGCGAAATCACTTATCAACACCCCGATGGATCCTACAGTGCTTGGGGGCCGACAAAGAACAATAAAAAAGGCGGGAGCACCTGGTAAGCGTTCAATATACGGATGAGCTTTTCTTCTCCCACAGTAATACCGCCCAAGCCAATAAAGCTATGGCTAAAAATTAAACATAGAGTTTTTTCTCTGTCTGTTTCCCAGTAGCGGATACCTCGTTTCTGATTTGTTTTTTTTTTTTTTTTTTTTTTTTTTTTTTTTTTTTTGCTGACCTTAGTTTGGAGCATATGGTTTAATGTCATTTTTGACAGCACAGTCTACTTGAATTTATTTCATATTATAGCAATTTGCTTCCAATGTTTTAGGCTGACTGCTTTTGTCATGAAGATATTCCACCAGATCAAGGAGTTCACCTTTGTCGACGACGAAGTTCTACGGAAGGGTCTGCAGTTCCTCATTAATAACCAGGCCGAAAACGGCTCGTTCCCCGAGGTGGGCAGTGTCCACAGCAGAAACTTACAGGTGATTACGACCATCTAAATGCTTGGCAACACGACAGTACTCAAAACGCTTCTCTTCATATTACCACATATTAGTCAGCACTTGAAAGCAATTAATTGATACATTATTTTGGTCATACCTTTCTTGGTGCATAAAATCTTGTTTATGCAAGGTTTGTTGAATTAAAATATACATGTTAATCTACAAGCTATTTTAAACCAACTTATATCTTGCTTTATGACGATGTGCTATAAACATTTGCAAACGTAGTGAAACAAGCATTTATAAAAACGTATTCTCAAACAAAGATTATTTTGGTTCCAGGGTGGGTCTGGCAAAGGGGCGCCCCTCACAGCATTTGTTCTCATTGCACTAAAGGAAAACGACGATGCAGTCAATGTAAGTACATGGTACATAGAAACACATCGGATGCTTACATTCATGTATATACATTGGTATTATTTCGGCAGTTTTTTGTACTTCTAGTTACTACAATTTTGTATTAAATGGGATAAGCTGATAAGTTTAGTATCTTGGAAATTGTATATTATAAAATTGTACAGGAGGTAATGTACAAATTAAAAAATATATATATAAAAATTGATTGACTCAAAGATCATCGAGATTATTTTCCAAGGCAATACAGCATGTTACAATGATACGCTGTGTCTTTTACAGGCTAACTGGACAGAGTTCCAAAGGGCCATTTCCTCTGCTGTTTCGTTCCTGGAAAACCAGCTGCCAAGCCTAAACGATCCATATCCTCTCGCAATTGTGACCTATGCACTGCATCTAGCAAAAAGCCCGGTTGCTAACATGGCGCTCAACAAGCTCAACGCCATGGCTACATACGAAGGTATGTATAAAAAATCGTTTTGTTGGTTTCATCTGCAGCCCGCAATGAAATATATTGTGTATTGAAATGTGATACGAACTGCCATTTTTGCGTCAAATGTCAAATGTCATGAACTGTCGGCTAATATTGTATAAGTTTACTGAATAAAATTATGACATCCAGGGATGTGCAAACATGTATGCAGAATTCTGCATCTTTATGCGGCCGCCGTAACACTGAGATTTGGTGTTCTCACTGATCGCTTCATACTTTGGAAGCAGCATTTTCAAACATTTCTATGGCATTGGTAGTTTTTACACTTATTAAAATAAGAATGGCTATAGACGAAGGTTGGCAAGTACATTGAAAAAAGAACTGTGTTCCTGGCCTGTGGATGTTAATAGAGCTTAATGGTTTCAGATGGATACAAATACTGGAAGATAGCTGATACTCCAAGGTGTGAATATCGGTACTGCTACAATCCACCAACACAAGAAGTTGAGACTGCTGGTTACGCTCTCTTTGTTCACAACGCCATTAATAATGAACAGAGCATTCCAATTCTGAAGTACCTTGTCTCCAAACAGAACTCTTATGGCAGCTTCGGCTCTACACAGGTGAGGGTGGCGGTCAATATCTACATGAGGTGTAGTGTATTATATATTCGAGACGTGATTCTAAATAAGTCTGAACTGCTTACTTTTGTTTTCATAGAAATACATGATTCATTTGTAGGTAATTCGCTTCTTAAAGTGTTTATTTAAAGTGTAACAATATTCCCAACTGATATTAACATATTTTTACAGTATGACTCCTTACTATCATTGCGAGACTTAATGTGTTCTTGTCAAAATAAGTATGAACGATCCAAGAATACAAGGAACACTAGAAAGCTCACTCTGTTTTGTAATTCATGATGCTAAAGCTGGACATTTTTTATCAAAAGCAAAGCTCAAAGATGTACTTTCATCGTTGTTATCCTGATGCCGGGACGTTGTGGTAGCACTACTACTAGCCCTGACATAGTATGGAAAGCCCTGATTGTAAGTTAATGATTGTTATCCTCATTCCAGGATACTGTGGTAGCGCTTCAGGCCCTGACCGAGTATGTGGCATTGTACGCCACCACCAGAGATATGACCATCCGGGTCACAGCAGGGGGCTCCTCGGAATCCTTCACTGTCAATGATCAAAACGCTCTGGTTTTGCAAAGAGCCGAGGTTAGTTAATTAATAATAAATAAACTGCTTCGAATACCCCTATATATATGCATAGTTAATTGGCTTCAGTGAAATAAAGATTTTAAAATTTAAAATGATAGTGTGGTTACAGGTAGGTTTAAGTTTATCTCGTTTCAGTTTTACATACCTCATATTCCAGATATGTCGAATAGGAGCCCTGTGTCCGGAACCGCGCAAATTTAGATATAAACGTAATTTGGAATTAGGCTCGAAATACGGACACCGTTGGAAACTTTTAGATAGGATAACGCTTTAGTATAACCTTCCAGATTCGCGGTCGAAATCTTTACGTCTAAACGCTACAGAGGAAATCCACNCCGTGCGTTGTGTAGATTACAGACAACTCGTAGGATGGAAAAGGGCGATGCCTCCATAGGTGGAACCCTCTCAGCTATCACTCCCCGCTGGTGTTAACATGTCGTAGACCACAAATCGAAGACGGCCCGGTAATGGTTGTAGCCGCGCCCTATTTGACACTGCTACGGAATTCGCTCTGAAACTGAAAGTACACTTAAAACGCAAAATGCGGATTTTCTGAAAAAGAATTCATGTTAATTGAAAAAAAAATTGTTATAAGCGTTAATATTTTATCCTTTTACTCCGTCCACTGGGCTATGTGCTCTCTAGAAGAAAAAGAAAAATATCATTAGGGTAGTATACGAAAATCATTATCTATCTACAATAATATTGGAAACCAAAATTACTTGTACATTTCCATGCTTCCTTGGGTCATGCGCTGTCTACCAGAAAAATGAGAAAAAACATTAGTGCTATATCGAAAATAACCCTATATCCACATTAATTGTATCATAGTTCATAGAATCAAGTGACAAAAATATGGGGTATGTATACCTGCCCTTGCTAGGTATGACATCACCCTCCTCATTCTTTATGAACACATTTTGAATCCAAATTTGAGCTCGCCATGTAAAGAAAAATAAATCTTTACAAACTAAATGAAATTCAATATCATTATATTTCAAGACTCCCAGTGGATTCTGGGATAAAATGCTCGTCTTGCTCGGCGTGGCTTCTTGGATGGTCACCTTAGTAGGCTCTTACTTTTTCTGAAAAATACAAGTTTTACATGAAATTAGCGAATATAATTTCGTGGGATAACCCAAGTACCAGAAAAAAAAGAAACAAAGAACACCTCACTAGGTAACTCCCTAGTATTATCATGAACATGTCGTTCTTGAACAACCTGGCGACACTGGTCAGCACTTTAGAATATGCCGATACCAAAAGGAACATTAGCCGCCCATCCTACAAAGTCAAATAACCCTCGTAGTTTTGTCCGAGACGAATGTGCACCTTCGCTCGAACCGACTGGACCCGCCCTGGCCAAGGCTGGTACAGCCGTTTGAGAGTCATTTTACCTGCAGAAAGGGTTAAAGTTAACCGTTATCCCTTTCGCCCTTGTTCCCTGTCCACTGAGGTTATGTACACCTCCCTCAGTCTGTTCTACGTAATCCCGTGTTACTACGGCGATCCGTATCCATAGTCTACCCTGAGACTACCAGTCTCCTCTTAGACTACCAGCGGTTTCTCCCTGGTGACTTCTACCGTCCATACGGCCTTTGTCACCGCCAAAGAGCTGCCTCTGGGTCACTAGGACGCCATCAGGTAGCTGCTGCCACCCCCATTTCACCCTGGGGCTAAAATACCAAGCAATATGCTTAAAACCGCCATTTTTACTTACCCATGCTCCTATCTATGCATGGAGTCCACTTCCATATTCTCTCCCGACCCACTGTCGGTTATCCTTAACGCCTTGACAGGCTGGGGACCGTCTAGTTCGTCCCCTTCAATCTGCGACAACAGCGCATCTTCCTGTTCCGTTGCTTGGATACATCTTTTCCTAAACCTTGTATTATGTGAGTGCGTGGGCGTGTGGTGTCGTGTCATGGTGTTATGCTTGCGTTTTGCATGCAATGTTGGCCTGCGTGAAGCTGCCTGTGACTCACCTCCAACACTTACCGGCATCTCGGATTCGATCCTCTCCGCTACCTGGCTACGCCCGTTGGAGTTACTTACCGCTGCGCGCTGGTTGACCTCTGCCCTTGGAGCGTTGGCGTTGACTGGTGTGGTACCAAGTTGCAACTCAGCTCTTATTGGGTTGGGTCGTCTCCTGAAAACTCGACGCGCACGTGGTCTGATCTCATCCCAGGCTAATCCTCTGTCCACAAGTCTTAATTTGTCCCTGTTCACTACACGCGACTTACCTGTTTGCTGATGACTTACCCAGAAGACGTTCCCTCTTTGTCTGGTCACTGTCCAGACTGGGTCCCATTTTGATCCAAAAGTCACGTTATCAGGTGCGAAAACAATAACTGAATCACCTACCTCAATTTTGTTAGCGTTCGCCTTAGCGTCGAAACGTCTTTTGTTCTCTAATCTAGCTGCCTGAAGATTATCTCGGGCTGCCGTTAGAGCGTCAGACAGATCACTAAGCCGACCTTTCAAAGGATGATGGTTATTTGATGCACCTACCAACGTCGACAGTGGCATTCTAGGGTTCCTGCCATAAACTAGGAAAAATGGTGTGTACCCGGTCACTGAGGAAACACTATTCCTGTAAGCAAACAAAGCATTAGCTATCTGCTCTTCCCATGTGCGAGTATTGTTGTTAACAAGGCGGGCCAATAATCCTTTGAAACATTGATTAAACTTTTCAACTTTGCCATTACATTTGGGGATTATAAGCTGTGGTCCGCCTATGATCTACACCCATTGTTTGAAGATAATTGCGAAATTCCCCCGCGCTAAATTCGCTACCTCTATCTGTGATGNACCTGGAGTATAGTTCTCTACATGTACAGTTTTGAAAGTGAAGAGATTTCAGATGAAACAGATATGAAATACAAAAGGGACACATTGTGATATTATTATTATTATTATTATTATTATTATTATTATTTCAGTTCCCCGACATTCCTCAACAAGCCACTATTTCAGCTCGTGGATCAGGTTCGGCGCTTGTACAGGTAAAAAAATACTTGATGGCTCTTTTCCAATAGTTACTCCCCATGTTTACTATAGGGCGTGCGATAGAATTTCTTTATGGAATCCCAGTACGTAGAATCATGAAGGATTCCCATGGAGTCCTGTAGGATCCCTACTGGAGACAGATGGAGTCATATATGACATCCTAAATGGAATTCTCTTAAGAACTTCTCGTGAAGCCTTCGGAATCTATCTTATTATTCAGTTAAGACGATATTACGTTTTGTAAGATTATGAAATGTTAGTGAGGTAACCAGATCGCTTGTTGGAAGAGTGTGCTTGAAATGTAAACGGTGTTTTTGTTTTAGGTCACTGTCAAGTATAACGTCATGTCGGACAAGAGGGAGAAATCGTTTGATCTTAACGTGACCGTACTGGAGGAAAGCGATAATGCCATGAAATTGCGAGTCTGCACCAGGTAAAGTTACATGTACATAATACGTTATTATCAAGTTTTGGTTTAGATCTTCCATTAAATGCAAACAATGCCAAACCACACTAATCCGCACAAAATCCGATTTCAATATATGTGTATGCTTTCATTGTGAAATATGGTTCTGTAAATGATGCTACTTCCAAACAATAAATAACACCTTTTCACAGAAAAATACTTTTTTAAAGAAGGTCAAGTCTCTCTAGCATTGTCGCTACATTGCTTACATTAGACCGCACAGCCGTTATCAAATATCTCTTTTATTTCAACGTGGTAGATATCTCAAAGCCGGTAAAACTGGAATGGCCATAGAGCAGATTCAGCTACCAGGAGGGTTTGATGCTGACATGGAGAGTCTGAAAGATGTCGAATTCATTCAGAGGGTGGAAAAGAAAGAAAGGAAGGTCGTTCTATACCTTGATGAGGTAATTAGAAAAAATGGTTGATAATTGCAAGTCTGGGGTTTACTTTTAGTCGGTTAGAATAACTTCTGCGATGGCATTTCTTCGTCACCAAGTTTACTGAACATTATATGCTTGTTTTAAGGAAGAGAACATGCATTTCAAGCCCTTTTAATGATTCAGCAGCTCCTTGATTGTATTTGACTTAATCTGTTCATGGAATTTTATTGAAGGTATTTGTACATTGTACATTTATGAAACATGTATGTATTTTAGATCGATCAGAGGGCCACGTGTGTTGACCTGACGCTGTATAGAAGTGACTTGGTAGCCAAGACACAGCCTGCCATTGTTAAGGTTACAGATTACTATTCACCAGGTAATTATATTCATTCATTTTTGTATCTGTTCATTCATTTGTTCAATCTTGGCTGATGTGTTGGCTGATCGATTAATAAAAACTAAAAATGATAGATTATTGGATGGCTAGACAGTTTTTAAGTCGCACGTTACGATCAGGCAATTCCAAAACAGATAGTTATTAATATTTGGTAAAAAGATGCTTCAGTTTTAAATTATTATTATTTTTTAACAAAAGGTAACGAAGAAGTGGCCTCTTATTCCTCGGAAAAATTGGAGAAGGTCAATATCTGTGACCTGTGTAAGGAGAACTGCGAAGTTTGTTTACCACAGTAAGTGTTAATAATAAATATTCTATAAATAATTAATCTTTGGTGTGCGGTTATGCATACCGGGGCCTCGGGGTGTTATTTGAAATGCTTGTACCAGGGGCGGATCCAAGATTATTTGAAGGGGGGATGCGAAGCCGACCCCCCCCCCCCAACCCCCACCACCACCACCACACACACACACACACACACATCGGGTTCGGGGCCCAATGAAGAGCCCCGGAAAAAGTTGGTACTTTAAAGGGCGAGCGTTGTTATTTGGTATGGTTTAGATCTATGATTCAGCTAGTGAAAATTCCAATGTCAAGAGGGGACCAGAAATCGAAGGGGGACAAGACCCCCTGACCCCCTCTCTAATCCGCCACTGTTGTACGTATAATGAAGTGATATACTGACATCAACCGATTTCCCACCATTGGAGGAGAGTTTTCCGTACATCTTATAATGCAACATTAAGCTCTCTACTCTTACTTTCCAGATTTAGCTGCCGAGGCAAAGGTAATGGTTTGCACCGCGATGACCGCCACTGCGACAGGTTTTATTATTGCTTCTACCAGAAAGTTTACTACGCCTTTAAATGTCCAAAGGGATATTTGTTCAATGGGCTTTACTGTGACTTTGCCAGCAAGGTCACCGATTGTAACGTGTTCAAGTAAGAAGTAACCATTTGACGTCGTGGCAACGTTGAGACATCAGTAATTCCTGGCACTTACATGTTTACTACACAGCGTTTTGCTTAATGTTGTTTCCATTAGGGAACTGGCATTTGATCACAATAATATAAGCCTATTGCAAAATCAACCAAGCAATTGTCTTTTTGTATACTGACAGGAATTATCAAAGACAAATATCGTTGATTTATAAAATCCCTTTTGATGCAAAATAGCTAGTAGAGACAGCAAACACAGTAACAATTTTTATTATATAGAACAAGGCTACTTGCAACTTTTAAAACAAGCATTTCCTTAGTGATACAACATTAGGGTTTATATAAGAATATTTAGATATGTCACGTCTTCAGTTCGATTGTACTGTTATTTCAAAAATGTAAAGTTTATTTTATAATTGTTCCACTTAATGTTGTATTGTAATGATGTAGAAATACCCAAATATATACGTTTCTCTGTACGTTTTTGCGGTTGTAAAATTTGTAGAAAAACAGTTATTATAAAATATAATAACAAGACGCAGAAGTGTCAAAATAAAAGCAGGATCTTTTTTGTCACTTTGCTTCGAATTCTAAAGAAGTTGTCAATAAAGTTCAGATTTGCAGTGATTGAAGTGTCCGTCTTGCAAAAACTTTGACTAATCTGGCCCCCGTAACTCGAAAGCATCGCGCAAGCATCTCGATTCCATACTCGATTCCATTCCCCCCCCCCATACTCGTCCCATTTAGGCCCAATAGCCTCCAAATAAAGGTGATTCGCAATTCGCTTTGCTTTCGTGTTACGGAGCCTTGATCTTCAAATCCGAATTACTTGATACGCATGGAACTTAAAATATGAATTACTTTTATTATAACTACCATTAGGACTACTGCCTTACTGACCGAAGATTGTGAATCCCCAGTGGTATTAAAGGTTCACTGCCATATGAAGCACTTAAAGGGTTTTCATCAACGCATTCTTTTAACTTGTTTGAACATCTTTAAATGAGAACTCATAAATTTAGTTTTATTATCTCTCCCCTACCTTCCCCTATTGGACGATGCTCATTCCTTCCCACAGCTGCCTTCCTATGTACCGGGCCCTCTTCCGTATTTTGTTATCTTGTTTTTATATCTATTTTTATAAGGTAAATGCATAATGCTAATACCGAACTGCCACCTTTGCATATACATTTTTTAAGCATTCATTCTTGCATTAATACATATGATGCCATCTTTGAACATCACATATCTTAAAATGTTGTTTTACAATATTGTCGAGTATAGGGAACACATTTTGTCTAAGCCCTATTAAACCATAACCCCATGTATAACGAACCTATGATATTAAATAGTAATAATAATATAATCTTTCTAAATGCATGTTTGACAGACTCACCAATTCACCAATATTTTTATGCTAACCTGCATAAGGAACCAAGCATGCGTTTAGATCACTGTATTCTACACAAATCAAGAGCAGGCAAATTCCAGACTAGAATAATTAGATGATAACCTGGCAAATATACTGTCCAAGTTCGGAACATTCTTCGTCTAGCCACTTAAAAGGAGTTGATCTAGTGTTCACAGCACCACAGTTTTTGTTAGCTTTCTTGGGTGCCTGTCCGCCATCGTTACCATTCCAATTCACGTATCCCGTAGCCGGGGTGCCGTCCAACCACTCCCATGTACCAGGGGGTGACTGCTGCTCCAAACCAATCCACGATAACTCCAGTGCAGCACTAAAATAAAATAAACCAGGTCTTACAACTCATTATTTTTCCTCCGACCCTACTAGCAACATCCCTTGGTAAAGAAGGCGTAGTTGGGTCTGGGTGGGGTATGTAAAGTTTGAAAACTCATCAAAAGACACAAAAAAAGTGCTAGAAAAGGTTTTGAACCTACTCAGCTGGGATAATAGATTCAATGTCATCAGTTTCTTCGGCACTCAATACAATTGCCAGTGTACTTCCATTAACAATTGTAGGGCATTGTGTCTTGGCATCGTTGTAGTTAAGTGGGCCACTAAAGAATTGAAAACATTTGCTTCCGTCATTTGATATCTTCCAGAGTTCAGTTCCAGGTGGACCGTCCGTGCAGGCTAAAAACAACAAGACATCACATACGGAATTACAATTAAGACTAAATACTAGTAAACAAATTTTAAAAAGAATTAAGAAAAATATGTGTACAATTTAAATTATACATCTATTAGTTATCATTCCACATATTCAGTATGTATAATTATATAAGTTTCCAATAAGCTATTTCAAAAATCCTGCACCTTTCACTATTAGTATTTTTATGCATTAAATTCACATTGTAGGCATTACAGATTGTCACTTACATAAAACTTGAATACATTCTGTGCCATTTCCGCTAAAGCCAGGTAAACAAGAACAACTGAAACTGCCTACAGTGTTTGTACATGTGGCATTTTCTGCACAGTTGTCTGTATTCAAGGAACACTCGTCCAAATCATCACATGTTGTGCCATCACCAGTGAATCCAGGCAGACAAGAACAACTGAAACTGCCAACAGTGTCTGTACATGTGGCATTTTCTGCACAGTTGTCTGTACCCAAAGAACACTCGTCCAAATTATTACATGTTGTGCCATCACCAGTGAAGCCAGCTAAGCAAGAACAACTGAAACTGCCAACAGTGTCTGTACATGTGGCATTTTCTGCACAATTGTCTGCACCCAAGGAACACTCGTCCAAATTATTACATGTTGTACCATCACCACTGAAGCCAGCTAAACAAGAACAACTGAAACTGCCAACTGTATCTGTACATGTGGCGTTTTCTGCACAGTTGTCAGTACCCAAAGAGCACTCGTCCAAATCAGTACATGTTGTACCATCACCAGTGTAGCCAGCTAAACAAGAACAACTGAAACTGCCAACAGTATCTGTACATGTGGCAGTTTCTGCACAGTTGTCAGTACCCAAGGAACACTCGTCCAAATTAGCACATGTTGTGCCATCACCAGTGAAGCCAGCTAAACAAGAACAACTGAAACTGCCAACTGTATCTGTACATGTGGCGTTTTCTGCACAGTTGTCAGTACCCAAAGAGCACTCGTCCAAATCAGTACATGTTGTACCATCACCAGTGTAGCCAGCTAAACAAGAACAACTGAAACTGCCAACAGTATCTGTACATGTGGCAGTTTCTGCACAGTTGTCAGTACCCAAGGAACACTCGTCCAAATTAGCACATGTTGTGCCATCACCAGTGAAGCCAGCTAAACAAGAACAACTGAAACTGCCAACTGTATCTGTACATGTGGCGTTTTCTGCACAGTTGTCAGTACCCAAAGAGCACTCGTCCAAATCAGTACATGTTGTACCATCACCAGTGTAGCCAGCTAAACAAGAACAACTGAAACTGCCAACAGTATCTGTACATGTGGCAGTTTCTGCACAGTTGTCAGTACCCAAGGAACACTCGTCCAAATTAGCACATGTTGTGCCATCACCAGTGAAGCCAGCTAAACAAGAACAACTGAAACTGCCAACTGTATCTGTACATGTGGCGTTTTCTGCACAGTTGTCAGTACCCAAAGAGCACTCGTCCAAATCAGTACATGTTGTACCATCACCAGTGTAGCCAGCTAAACAAGAACAACTGAAACTGCCAACAGTATCTGTACATGTGGCAGTTTCTGCACAGTTGTCAGTACCCAAGGAACACTCGTCCAAATTAGCACATGTTGTGCCATCACCAGTGAAGCCAGCTAAACAAGAACAACTGAAACTGCCAACTGTATCTGTACATGTGGCGTTTTCTGCACAGTTGTCAGTACCCAAAGAGCACTCGTCCAAATCAGTACATGTAGTACCATCACCAGTGAAGCCAGATAAGCAAGAACAACTGAAACTGCCAACAGTGTCTGTACATGTGGCATTTTCTGCACAATTGTCTGCACCCAAGGAACACTCGTCCAAATTAGTACATGTTGTGCCATCACCACTGAATCCAGGCAGACAAGAACAACTGAAACTGCCAACAGTGTCTGTACATGTGGCAGTTTCTGCACAATTGTCTGTACCCAAGGAACACTCGTCCAAATTAGCACATGTTGTACCATCACCAGTGTAGCCAGCTAAACAAGAACAACTGAAACTGCCAACAGTATCTGTACATGTGGCATTTTCTGCACAGTTGTCTGTACCCAAGGAACACTCGTCTGAATTAGCACATGTTGTGCCATCACCAGTGAAGCCAGGTAAACATGAACAACTGAAACTGCCAACAGTATTTGTACATGTGGCATTTTCTGCACAGTTGTCTGTACCCAAGGAACACTCGTCTGGATCAGGGAAACATGTGAAACCTCCTTCTGTGTTAATACAATTTCCACCTTCTTCGCAGGCTGGTTTATTTGTACCAAATCCGGTTGGGACACCCACTGTACATTCGTCGATGTCTGAAGTAAGAAATGTTAAGATGTTCTAGCCTTCTGCAGTCTGTGTCTGTATTTCTATACCTGTAACATTGATACATTGCTACAAACTCATTACGTCCTCCTTCTTCAAAACTCTCTTCAAGAAATGCTGGTGAAATTTGAGAAAAAAACTTTGTACATCAACGAAAAACACCCGTATCTTTGTAGACAAATGTAGCATTGACCATAACAGTGATACATATCTCATATCTGAAATAAAACCTATATATAATTTACACAGCACGGGCGTGTACCGGGTACGAGGGAGGAAACTCGCCCGTTTCCTTTGTCAGGAGAATTGAAATGCGATGAAGGTACACTGGTCGATGTGCCCTCTGTTTGTGTCGTTTTCTTTGTGTGTGTGTGTGTGTGTACGTGTATGTGTTGTGTGAGATTATACCTGTATTTTCATCCATATGTACAACTCACCCACACAGATGCCATCTGCTGCCTTCGTATAACCATCATAGCAAACGCAATCACAAACAGTTCCTGGCTGGTTATTGCAGGACCCTCCGTACATGTAATATATCAAGTCGTAGAAATAACATCCAAACAAGTTGGACATTTGGTAGCTTGTCTGTGGAATACATTCCCCATGTTCCCCGCACGGATTATCTTGCGCTTTGCAAGCTGAAACAAAAATTAACTGGTCTCTAATGAAGAGCAAAACGACATGCGGTTACATACTTTTTTGATGATTTAAAAGCAAAACAAATGATTAATGCTCCTCATGGGAAGCCAATGTCTCAAACTTAGATTTTGCTGTTTTATATTACCTATCCACTTTTTGGTCCATATTTTTCATGTCTATTTATCTTGTAAAGTTATCCTTAAAACCCATGCCTTAAAAATGATAACCAAACCTTAGTTACTCAAATATAAATGTTGATATTTTGCAAGTAAAACAAGACCCCTTTTCGATGCAAAAGTATCGCGCTTGCTAGACTAGAGTATTTAACATTAATTGAAGGTGTGGATATGACTTTTTAGTTAATTGTCTATAGCAAAAGCCCTCCCACCACTAATATATAATTGAAATTAGTATAAAACATTGAACCCAAGTGCATGGACAAGTCGAACATTACGTACTTTGAGTAGGAGAAAATTCCTTTCTCTAATTATAATGAATGATATATACTCACGTATACAAATGCCAGTGACCAGCAACAGAGCTGCCACAGTCCACTTGCTGCACGTTACTTGCACTATCATTTTGTGCCAAACGTTAGCCACAAATAAGAGTTGTCAAAACATTGAGCCACAGGTCCACATCCAAGTCCTTTTATAGAGCGGGTGTCTAGTCCATGACGTCACTTTTTTAAACCCATCTATTAATCAACCGTAATGTCACGACGTGTGGTCTAATGGCCACTGGCTTTTAGCCTTGAAGGTTTTTTTTTTTCCACGATGAAAAACAACAACGATATTTTAATCTTAGGATGATTGTTTGACAGGACAGGATAGGTCAAGACAGGGTATTTCCTCCGGTGAACAACATTTTGGTGATTCTTCAACCCATGCACTTTCGTGGTGGGAGGCCTTTTCATGAAAAAATCAGAAAGAAGTGTAGTCAATATATATAATAATATAATATAATAATATATATGGATTTTTCTCAAATCAGAATAATCATGATGTGTCGGATTTCTTTATCAAAGGCATAGTTTGTCAGGTCCTTAATGAAGCAATATGTATTCTGCTGGATTTTTCCTAAACTTTACCGACTCACTTTAATGTAAAGTGACAAAGTTAGAATGAAATTACTATCACTAAAACAAATAAAATGAAATTTGAATTAATGAATTATTTCTTTTTATTTGGATTATCGTTCTCCAGTGAGATCGATATGTTGGGCTTTTTTCTTTATCCGCTTAGAAATTGCGAAAATACACAATATCAATTACCGTGAGTTTGGAAACTAAAGTTGAAAACATTACATCAGCGTTTTTTTTTTTATTTTCTTTATATGGGAGGCGGAAACTATAATGTTGATTTCAAATAAATATCCTTTAATTACCCAAACAGCTACCAACACCATTTCGGTGCTTATTTGATCACAACTATAAGTCTTACAACCTTGTGTCAGGAATTTTATGAAAGATTTACTTGAGAGGCGTTTGTAACTTTTTCATGTGGCCTGGAGGCAAAGTCTCCACAGTATTGCAGTTCCAATTTTAGGAAAATAAAAATCAATTTATTATTTAGGCAATTACCCAAATATAAATGCCAATTTTTTTGCAAGTTAAGCAATATCTTTTTCAATGCAAACGTACAGTATAAGTGTATTAGTCGGGTATCTAATTGACATTGTAAATAGGAATGTTTTTTTTTTTNTTTTTTTTTTTTTTTTTTTTTTTTTTTGTAAATTGTCATTAGAAAAAGCACTTCCACCACGATAGCCTACGGGTTGACAATCAACCAAATGTGGCTTACGAGAGGTGCGCTGTCCTGTCGTGTCCTGGCAAACATCATAATTCATCATTACATTGATTCATTGTTGATTTTTGCATAAATAACATGCGTCATAGGGATTTATTTATCTTTAAAAAAACACCTTTAAGGCAGTTCGCCGAAAGGAAACCGTTGACCAGTAGAGAGGGCTGTCCTGTCCTGTCATGGCAAAGAATCACCCTAGCATCGACATAATGATGTTTTTGCGTAAATAAGATGTACAGGGGTACCATTAAATTTTATCAATCCAGTAAAAAAAAACACAATATCCTTAAAGGAAATAACCGATGGCCATTGGACCACATATTGTGACATAACCCTACAACTCGTGTTTATAATTATTTAAATCCTCTCTTTAAGGACTAGGATGAGAGAAGATGCGTCAAGGCTTACATAGCTACGGTCGGTTTTACTAGCAGTCACCTGTTCTTGTGGGGGAATTTTACGCCGTAAGCTTCTATCTTTTTCTCACAGGAATACTTGCCTGCAAAAACCATATACACTCGACTAAAGTTTGGAAACATTGTTTTTTTGAATAATTGTATATACGTATTTTAACCAAAGATTGATGGATAATGCTCCCAACATTCGTTACATTTTGAAAATTTGCCAGGAAAAGAATTCTGTGGGGATTACATCAATATTTGTGGTCAAATTTCATATATAATGAAAATGGAGTGACGAATTTACAGTTTTTTTTCTAATTTTTGAAAATGAACGGTAAAAAAACCTTTGTTTTAGGCATACAGTACGTAGGATACAATTGATATTTCGGCTGAGGAGTCCTTAAAATGTAAAGTTGGTCTGAAGTAACTTTTCGTCGTCCTTAACAGCCATCCTGTACAGTTCTCTTGTGAAAATCAGCTCCATGAGGGACTATGTAAACCAATTAGTGCGTCTTGATGATGTCAACAGGAATGCAAGACGCATGAGAACACGCCTACCTAAATTCAATGAAAACGACTTCACCGATGATGATTTCTTTGCAAGGTTCCGTTTCTCGAAGTTGGATCAACTACCATTTTTTTTAAATTATATTAATTAATTTATTAATAATAAATGAATAAATTAACAAATTAATAAATTTGGCTTAGATCAAAACATCCACATGCAGTGATAATGTCCATATGCACTGTTGCATGATTGAAGTTGACCTGTTGACCCCAATTATACAACATTACTGAGGCGTTTATAACGAGGACGGTGTCACAAAGGCCTACTTTAACCAATGAGGAGCTCCTTTATGTCAGTGCCCCTTACCTAAAGGCCGACTTTTGTCAAAGTAATTCCTTATCAAAGGAGAGGCTAAAAAGTGGTCTTAGAATACCATTTTTAGGTCTTCCTTTATCATGGAACACCTCGTCAAAGGAAGCCTTTATAAAAGTTGACCTTAGGCCTATTTTAAAGAAACATCTTGGAATACGGGCCCATATCTTTAGGCCTTGCTTTACCAAGGAACACTTCATCAAAGANCTAACACTTCGTTCTCATAATATGATCATAAACAAACATACACAAACACATGTATATACCCAGTTCCTCTTTCACACTCAACACACTTTTCTTACATTAAAAAAGAAAGGAATATGAAATGTTTAGCTCACTCATTTATTTATGTTTGAATATAAATGCGGTCCTGTTGGAGGGAGTTAAACCGCACTATTTGGGGGATTGAATTGCAGCAGATGTGCTTGGTGATGATTAAACTGTCCTAATGTGGTAGCTGAAACATTGCATTTATCCTTGTGTTTGTCTTCACTCACAGGGACGTAGAGACAAAGAAGGGGAGAGTAGGAGGAATAACCCAAATCTTTCCAGTTATTCATAACCACAAGAAAACATGGGGAATCCTCTTCGCGCAATTTCTAAGGGTTGCCCCTGCTAAAAGTGTGTTTCTCTTGCGTTTAACTCTCTTTTTCATGGGGAAAATATTCCATGGCAGGTTAACTGTGTAGGGCTCAGATGTGACCGTGCCCGCCTAACCTAGTTAATCGAGTTGTTCATTGGGGTAAAATGATTACCTTGGGTATAATAAACAACATGTTCATCAGCTATTGTGCTACTCTCTTTTTACAGTTCATATTCATATTGGTTGACGGTTATTACGTACGTTGTTCAAATCGCACCAGCTGAAAGATTTTAATCTCTATTATTGTATATAGATTTGTACAGGCACGTGTTTAAACGCGGGCGAGGTTATACTATTAACGACATGCTGTTTATGTACTAGCAGATGATGGCTGGGCTAGCATGAGGTGTTTAATATTTAAAAGTTATATAATATATGGAATTAGAAATAGAACGGTAAATTAATTAAGTTTACCCAGAGATGTTTGGCTTATTTGATTACTGTTTTGTCTATCTAATACAAGTAAGTGCTACAATCATAAAATAGTTCAAAACAGTTCAAAGAGATAAACATTTTGATCACTTGCCTTCAACAATGAATTTGATTTAAGTAGTCAGGAGCTAGAGAACAAAATTAACTGTACTTGAGCTTGGTTTCATAAAAAAGCATCCCCCTCTTACAGGTGATTCGATATTAAAAATGAAAAACATAAAACTGAATGATTTATGCAGAGACATTTATTTCTGCAAACCAATGCACAAAATTGGTTTCATTTGAACAAATTCCAACAACCGATTTCATTCAGCTGACAAAAGTCACATCCGGGTCAATTGGTCAGTGTTATTCGATTACTGAAATAAAGATAAATCAATGGTAAGAAACAAGAAGCATGCATAATAATAATAATAGTGATAATAATTTCTTCATCTTATACAAATAAATGTTTTAATATATATTCCTGTCTCAGTGAAAACTATATAGAGTCGATCCATTAATATTTGTCGCCTTAGATTTGCATTTTCTTTTTTAACGGTGGCGCATCGACAAACACATATACTGAAATTAGTCGTTGCATATGCATCCATTTTTAACCCATAAAACCAACTTAAGAATACAAGTCTATTCTTTTAATCTGTGCAGTAACAAAGTATGGCACAGTGCTAGCATGAAAATTACAATTGCTAAAAAGCGAAAACATTCAGTGGCAACCCGTTCAAGAAGTGACCTGGGTCCAGTACAATGTACCTTTACATGATAGACACCTAGTGAGACCACTGGTCTAAAATAACAAAACATTCAGTGGCAACCCGTTCAAGAAGTGACCTGGGTCCAGTACAATGTACCTTTACATGATAGACACCTAGTGAGACCACTGGTCTCAAATACGTTCTTCAGACCTGCATCATCCCTAAGATGAAATGACCCGCAGTTTTAAATTCCATTATTCCCAGATAAAAAGCAAAGGCGGAATTCAAATCAATACCATTTTCCGTACAGACGTCATGAAAAATTGATCATCTGAAGATTCAACGTAATGTAAAATGTATATGTGAAAATTGAAAGTCTAATTATAATTTCAACATCGGGAATCACCGGGGAATATCGCCAGAGATCTCAATCTGGTCGCCACTGAATGTGGTTTTCAATAAAAGTAAAATACTTTACCATTTATGGCTTGGGCTCAATCGCTAGCATTTTTTTTCTCTCGCTGCCTGGTTTGCAACTGCAAGAAGTTAGGCAGTATAGGTTCTTTCTATAATTGGCGTCTGGGTTGTTTTTATCATAGCCTGGAGGACACCAATTGTCGCATTTACAATCCCTAGGGGAGCAGTTATAGCAGTTCCACGAAGACGACATCGCCCCTCCGAGTACCAACAGTAACACAACGGCAACCAATAGCTTCATCGTGGATTGAGTAACGGTTTGTTCAACAGCAGAGTTCCACTGGCGGGAACGGACTGCTTTCTTGGCCTCTTATACGAAGTTTTGCCAACCTACGACGATTAATCAATTTATACTGACAAGCACGAAATAAAATAAAGGAAATTGAGTCTCCAAAGTGGCGGAAAACATTACAGCCAAAAGATAACTACAGTCATATTTTAATGGGGAAAAGCTGCAATTACTGACAATTTGACCCAATATGCCAACCATTAAATGGCAAAATACCCTGTATTGTGGTTTCGGGCAAAAAATTGAATTATGACTTGTCATTTTTCTGACCCACATTAATCGAATAATCAACAACTATGCACTAAATAATATCCCATTTATGACAACTATGTACTTTCTGATGATAGGTTAAATTAGCTGTCATTCCGTTGTAATTTAAACTGAATATAAACTAGTCAAATAAATGCACCGGCATATCCAGGTTTTCGGTTTCTCTCCATTGACACCCTAGCATTATCATAGAAACAGCTCCATATAAAAGTGTACTATAAAAGTAAGATATGTAGAGAAGATGGATGGAAAATAGATCGGTCTTGTCTCATTTTGTTTTGCTCGTTTTCCAATCATTCTCGGCTTTAGCAATAGAATTATAAGCAATCAGAAAATACAGCAAAAAAGTGAAAGTAGAACTCCTGCTAATTCATCTCTCTCAATCGTTACACGAATTAACAGACACATAAAATGAGCAACTTGTTACAATTATCTGCAATATCTTTCTCTTCATTGACTTGCACGCAAGGAAAGATAATCAAGGGTAGTGTACACGGTAACTTTATTGATGATATATATACTCTGTTTCTAGTAAAAAATATTTACACATGGGTCCACATGCACAGTTACAGATCTATGTTTTAGGTGATTTTTTCAAGTGCCACCTACAGTAGTTTTAGAAAAAAATATTTCTTTAGAATCATGCTGAAGTCATAGTCTAACACCAATTTGTGTACATGCATATACCAAGTAAAATAAGTCCTTTAGAGCAAAATATAGTAGTATATCCCATGCCAAAATATACTCTGAATGTAAAACAGGGTATTGCGGTGATGTCATTGTGAAGGGCTGTGCTCACTTTGGTATATGAGAGGGTTTTTACCACGCTTCTAACCCAACGAACTCAATGTATACAGTCTGTCAGTAGTATTACATGGTGCGGCAATGTATCATTTATGATAAAAAATATATCAAAAATTGCCAAGGAATAAAAAAGAAACCACTGAAAGAAAATTAAGGGAAGGAAATATATATGCACTGAAGAGGATGCGTTTATGCCTGTGTGTTTTTTCCCTGTCTATTGCTATCTGCAGGTGTTTCTGACAGCAGCACCCAGCAAACACGTCACGTTGGTATCACGTGCTTAATCCGTCGCTATGACGTTATATTGTGGTAGCGACGTGATGGCCACGTGATCCGAACGTGTCGTGTTTGATGGGTAGAACTATAAGTATTGGTGTTAATGGCTGGTAGCTGGTGTAACAAAGCTTCAAGGACACACTAGGGGGTATCAGGCGATATGGCACAACGTTGAACAGATGTAATGAAATGGTATCAGGACAATTCCCCCCCCCCCCCCGGACGCACCCCCCCCCTCCCCAAAGAATATATACAAATATAAAGTACAGGGTATAAAGTTCAAATGTTTTCATCCAGGTATCCCTTTGATTATCTGTCACTTTTAATTTCTAGACTGCTACCCACCTACCCACTACTCATCATACTAAAATATTCGTAAAATTTGTTTACCCCACCTTTACCTGGAGAATAGGTGGTTATACTTTCATTATATATTTATTATTACTTTCTCGACTTGTATTCAGTGAAAAAGGAATTTGTTGAATAATGAAGTTGTATTTTCACACTAAAATATAAATAAATTAGATGAAATATTTTGAGCTTTACACTCTTTACTTTATATTTGTATGTAAATGTATATTCGTCGGGGGGATCGTCGGGGGGGGGGGGGGTCCGGGGGGGGGGATTGTCCTAGAATCAGTGAAATGGTATGTCTTGTATCATCCGACAAACATGTAGGTGTCTTCACCTGAAAAGCACTTTCTTGTAAAGGGCATACTACCATACTCTGTCACACCAACAGAACACTGCTGATGACCACTTTCTTGTAAAAGACATACTACCGTACTCTGTCACACCAACAGAACACTGCTGATGACCACTTTCTTGTAAAAGACATACTACCATACTTTGTCACACCAACAGAACACTGCTGATGACCACTTTCTTGTAAAAGAAATACTACCATACTTTGTCACACCAACAGAACACTGCTGATGACCACTTTCTTGTAAAGGGCATACTACCGTACTCTGTCACACCAACAGAACACTGCTGATGACCACTTTCTTGTAAAGGGCATACTACCGTACTCTGTCACACCAACAGAACACTGCTGATGAGCCTTTGAAGGTCAAGTACTTTAAATATCTAAAAAGAACCATATTTCCTCTATTCTTCTCGACCAACTCCAATATTTCTTTTCCGATCATCAACTGATTTTGTGTTATTCCAATCGCAGAGAATGTACTACATGAGACCAAGCTTAGAACCCCTTTTAATAGTGTGGTTAATAATTAAGGAAGTGCTCTTAAAAACTTATTTTCTGCTCTCTGGTAATTTTTTCACATTTCGTTGCACTGACAAGTTTCAATTCGCAAAGGGTCATGACAAATAAGTAACAGCGGCAATTTCTATAGACTACACATGCGCCTGAAATGATAATATTAAAATGCAATTTGGTGACTGGTGCCAAAAGGTTTTTATTGTGTTTGTGTAATTTAGATCTGAAACAACTAAACACCCACGTATCAATGTTACATTAATCATAAAATACTTATAGTCATCTGTTGCCAGAATGAATGAGTAAAAATAAATACTGAAAATAACAACAGTAAAATGAATCATTGAAATAGGATATAAAGTAATGTTTATTGTAACAGACGTGGAGAGCATCAACAACCATCAAAATCTTAATATTATCTTGAACAACCTGAATTTTTTTTTACGTCAAATGTTAGAATTACATGATTTATGTCTGAAACATAGTAAGAGTCTGTCTAAATACAGTACAATAACATGTTCTAGGCTATTAGACTTGATGTAAAACTTCAGGTGTAGGTTTTGTCTGAAAAGCTACTGCAAACCTATTCATTTTACCGTTACTCTATGAATATGTTTATTTTATTTATTATTATTCTTTTTTTTTTGCGGAGGTTGCATTTTGTTATAATTAAAAAAGATAGAAGAAAGACGCTCACTATCATGAAGAGTTTTCTCCAATATTTCGTCACCTTTAAGGAAATTCACCTTAAGCAAACGTACAGTAGGTATTTGAAATTTGCGGGAACGCACTAAATATTTTGCATCGATTAAAATGTCAAGTCAAAAACGTTAAAACGTTTCTAGGTCGTCTTTAAGACCTTAACATATTTATTGCTCATTAATGGTGCTTAGTTCCGACTGGCTTAAGCTGACTTTATATAAGGATGCAACCATCCACGCAAAGTTCTTAATAAAGGTAACTGCCACGGCCAACACAATGTAAGTAAGCCGTTTCTTGAAGGGGTTTGTAGTGAGTTGATTTAGTAACTGTTAATTAGGACTCTTTTATGGGGTTTCTTGATTAGAGTAAAAAATGCCACGCTATTGTGTGTTTATAAGCGACAGAAAAGTAATAATTAAACAAGTGATCCATGGGTACATTGAGCATTTTCAAGTATAGAAGTTAAATTGCAAATGGAGACGCTTAAGACCATATAGTAGTGTACTATGAGTCGTAGATTAGCTAAAAGAGTATAATATTCTATATACAGTACTTCCACGGGGTTAAATTTTGTAAAACTGCAGTTTTAAAATATAATTTTTATCAACAAATTAAGTCATCTTGGTAATGTATAGGAGTTGTTTTACAAATTGTAGTCTCTTTTCTTCATTACTTTATAATTGAAAAGAATAGCTTAAAGCGATCTCATGCATTGAATTATGCTGCTGTATTTATATATGTTGTAATTATATCAAGGGCACCGTTGCCTATCGATAAAATTGTTTTCTACTCTAACTCTCCTTCTGGCCAGTTTTTTCTAAACTTATTGCACTTCCTTATTTCATTTTAGTATCAAATTATGCACCCCTTCTTGTTTAAATGCCCTAAGTAACCTAAAGTGCGGTGTAATCTGTTCACGTTTAACCCATTAAACGTTACGCCTATATAACCGGGTGCCTATTAATGGACATTACCAATGTGACTTCAGATACCTACAGCGACTCCCGTGACTTGTGGTGACCTGTTGATAAATTTAAACTTCAAACTCTTCCACATGTTATAGATTTCAGGTTTTTGGTCTTTAATTAACAATACAGGTCTTGAGAAGGACGCAAACTTACGAGTAACAATTATAAATGTTTGCCAGTCTCCTTTAACTGTTGCGGAATCCAAAAGTACCTTTCTTTGTGCTCACATAAGTTATCTCGTTTTTATGTATGTCGTGTTCAGAAAACAGAAGCCTTAAAGCGAGGTATAAGCCAATTCATTAATGCAGTATAACATTTAATTTACCACTAACAACCTTTATTACCATTGATTAATTATTTCCTTATTTTTATTGCGACCTTAATGTATTGGTCCCAAACAGCGTTGAACGTTCAGTTGTAGACTTTATGCCACACCTAACCCTTTGCCACACAAAGGAAAACAAGGAAATGGTTTCCATTTTTTTAAAATTGATATTGTTTTAAACTCAGGCAGCAATCACATTCCCGCCAGCAGCGTCGTGCTTTCTCTTTCCCCAGCTTCCATTCACGTGATAACATGATTTCATAATATGACCAGAAACTTCACAACAGGTGACAAATACATGACTAAAAAACGTAACTGATGGTCGACAAAATTGGAAGGTTGAAGACGCTTCTCTTTTCTATATTTATATGAAAACGTCTACCCTGCTAAAGGTGACTGGAAAGCCGTACAGTATGTGCTAAATGTCTTATGAAAGGGCATACACAGTGCGCCGAGAGCCATGCAGTAAGGACTGTAATAAATGCTTCCGACTCAACAAGAGGGCCCTATTAAATAATAAGACTTTAATTTTATTTCTTTAAGGATTTCGTGTACAATATTACTGCTGCTGTCGGTCCAGGCGATAGCTCAGTCAGACTTATGGTGGTGTCAGGTGTATCCACAGTGGTGTCAAGGAGCAGCAACAACAACAACAACAACAACAACAACAACAGCAGCACCGACCACAACAAGGGGCCAGCTTTCATGGTGCGAGATGTACCCCTGGTGGTGCCAAACAACCGTAGCCTCCACTGTTCCATCTTGGTGTCAGCGCTATCCCTGGTTATGCCAAACAACAACTGAAACACCAACTACAACAACCGCACCAAGCTCAAGTAAGTTCATAATTTTCAAGATATTTTAGACGATAAAAAAACTGACAACAAACGACAACAGGTAGGCAGAGAAATTCTACTGTGCTATTTCATGCAAGTAAGATTTCTCTCTGTAGATTTAAGTCACATGCCCTTTGGGACAGTTCTGCAATGGCGACCGAACAGAGACGGCCAGGTGCGACGATTCTGCCATTGTTTGGTCAGTCTTAAAAGACTGTTTCCTCTAACCTTTGGACCTCTGCCTCACCTGAGCAGAACTGTTGATTTTAAAATTGTTTCAACAACATCACTTTAATAATTGTCACTTTTATGTAGGCCTGTAAATAGATCTGTTGAAATCACCAGTAAAAGAGCAATACCGATGTGGCCTAGAATCTAGGGTAATTGTCTAGGGGTGCTTTCCCAGAGATTCAAATCGATCTAAAGATTAAGTTTTAGATCGACCTAACTCCTTGGAGGTTCACGCTAAATTGCAGTCAGCAGAGCGGACACCATAGCTAATTACCCCCTTACAAATTTTAGTAGGCGAGACAGACGCTTAAGCCGGCCAAGCTGACAGTAATCTAGTGAGACTCCCCACAGGGATAGATCGATCTAAAAATCTATGGAAATGGGGTGAAACAGGACTCCCACGAAAACTGAGACAACAATGCGCAGGTTTTGCTCTATTGTCTTTAAGACAGTGACGTATTTATTAATCTATGGCAACTTCAAATCTCTTTATTCATATAACTGGAATGTATCTGAAATAGCCCTGGTGGGAACTCGGGAAGCGTGTCAGGGTGTGTAAGGGTGTGTTAGGGTAAATTGACTCATTAACGTTTAAACTGGAATATTCAACGCAAATATGTATAGGTAAAACTTTTGATATGGTCAGTGCAGAGTAAAGACATGTATCCCTGATATCGATGGATATTAACAATTTGATAATTATACATGTACGGTAACTACCTGCAATTTTATGATATGCCTCACTCATTCAATTTGTTCAAGAATTATTAGTTTTCTTAAATCATAAAAATTATGAACTAAGCCTAATATTAACAACATTAAAATTTACATAAATATTTTCATGCATTGCTGACAAAACATTGATTTAGAGAATAGGTCTATTATATATCCATTTTGTTTGATAAGCAATTACCGTTTAGAGACGGAGCTATTTGGAGGTTTATGAAAAGACCCTTTGTTGTCTTTCCAGCTTGTGAAGGTTGCATCTGTGGGTATCTTCTGGAGCACTGGCGATATAGAACTTGGAACATGCAGGCATGTGGTATGTAGGACACAAGTTCTTCTCCGCTCGCTCGCTCGCTCGCTCTCTCTCTCTCTCTCTCTCCGCGCGTGTGTTTGTGTGTGGGTAATAATGTTCTTTTTAAAGTTTATATTGCATTTATCGATTGGAAACACGACAGTTGCGCCCTGAAGTAATACTGTGAGATATTAGTCTATAAAGAATTGGTGAGAGTGAACAAGGCCACGTGATTGAAGCCAACTGGCCTCCTCTCCTTCGCTTTCCTGAAATCCTACTCCATCACTTCAAAATAACAAAATCAGTCTGCGAAAAAAAACTGTAAGACTAGTATATTATCCGTTTCCAACACCAGTTTTCAAGAATCTACTGACCCAAATAAGAAACAGTGAAATTTACAAAACTTGACTGGCATACATGGTCTCCATTATTTGGCATTTAATTGAGGACAATTTTTACTTGGCAGTTTGTTTGCAAAATTATTATCATTGTTATCATTTAATACGTTCAGTCTCTCTTTTTCGGATATAAGGATGATAATTTCATGATAACTTTATCATGTACATGTATTATTATTATTCCTGTTGTTTAATGTATTTCCGTTCTGCTTCCAGGGTCTGGCTACCCACCAGCTGTACAGGGAGCCAGTCTCCGTGAGTTATTTCAACTATTATCTTCACCAAGACGCTCCATTTTGAACCATATTGCCCCGTACTAAAATGACTTTGAAGCGTGGCTTTGTTTTTGATTCTATTAAAACAGTAGTGTTATGAACAGGAACACATGCCACAAGGGTGCTACATGTGGTGTCTTGTTATTGTATGATAAAATGCCAAATTTTATTATAAAATCGTACGGGCATTTTATTTGTTTAATTTCTTTTCAGTATCAGTGTAGTATCAGTAACATAGCCAACGTTATATTCTCACAGGTATGTTCGGAAATAACAAATCTTTTCACTTGATTAATTACCGTGTTTTTTTTTTCAGCGTGTCCTGGATGTGCATGTCGCCAGTGCAAATGTANTTCAAAATAACAAAATCAGTCTGCGAAAAAAAAAAAAAAAACTGTAAGACTAGTATATTATCCCTTTCCAACACCAGTTTTCAAGAATCTGCTGACCCAAATAAGAAATAGTGAAATTTACAAAACTTGACTGGCATACATGGTCTCCATTATTTGGCATTTAATTGAGGACAATTTTTACTTGGCAGTTTGTTTGCAAAATTATTATCATTGTTATCATTTAATACGTTCAGTCTCTCTTTTTCGGATATAAGGATGATAATTTCATGATAACTTTATCATGTACATGTATTATTATTATTCCTGTTGTTTAATGTATTTCCGTTCTGCTTCCAGGGTCTGGCTACCCACCAGCTGTACAGGGAGCCAGTCTCCGTGAGTTATTTCAACTATTATCTTCACCAAGACGCTCCATTTTCAACCATATTGCCCCGTACTAAAATGACTTTGAAGCGTGGCTTTGTTTTTGATTCTATTAAAACAGTAGTGTTATGAACAGGAACACATGCCACAAGGGTGCTACATGTGGTGTCTTGTTATTTTATGATAAAATGCCAAATTTTATTATAAAATCGTACGGGCATTTGTTTTATTTCTTTTCAGTATCAGTGTAGTATCAGTAACATAGCCAACGTTATATTCTCACAGGTATGTTCGGAAATAACAAATCTTTTCACTTGATAAATTACCGTGTTTTTTTTTCAGCGTGTCCTGGATGTGCATGTCGCCAGTGCAAATGTAACCTGGTAAAACAGCAGTTTGGTCAAGAGCAATGTCGTAAGTAGATACATGTCTATAGTCTAAATGTTACCAGGTAAAACAGCAGTTCCACCAAGAACAATGTCGTAAGTAGATACATGTCTATAGTCTAAATGTTACCTAGTAAAACAGCAGTTCCACCAAGAACAATGTCGTAAGTAGATACATGTCTATAGTCTAAATGTTACCTAGTAAAACAGCAGTTCCACCAAGAACAATGTCGTAAGTAGATACATGTCTATAGTCTAAATGTTACCTAGTAAAACAGCAGTTCCACCAAGAACAATGTCGTAAGTAGATACATGTCTATAGTCTAAATGTTACCTAGTAAAACAGCAGTTCCACCAAGAACAATGTCGTAAGTAGATACATGTCTATAGTCTAAATGTTACCTAGTAAAACAGCAGTTCCACCAAGAACAATGTCGTAAGTAGATACATGTCTATAGTCTAAATGTTACCTAGTAAAACAGCAGTTCCACCAAGAACAATGTCGTAAGTAGATACATGTCTATAGTCTAAATGTTACCTAGTAAAACAGCAGTTCCACCAAGAACAATGTCGTAAGTAGATACATGTCTATAGTCTAAATGTTACCTAGTAAAACAGCAGTTCCACCAAGAACAATGTCGTAAGTAGATACATGTCTATAGTCTAAATGTTACCTAGTAAAACAGCAGTTCCACCAAGAACAATGTCGTAAGTAGATACATGTCTATAGTCTAAATGTTACCTAGTAAAACAGCAGTTCCACCAAGAACAATGTCGTAAGTAGATACATGTCTATAGTCTAAATGTTACCTAGTAAAACAGCAGTTCCACCAAGAACAATGTCGTAAGTAGATACATGTCTATAGTCTAAATGTTACCTAGTAAAACAGCAGTTCCACCAAGAACAATGTCGTAAGTAGATACATGTCTATAGTCTAAATGTTACCTGGTAAAACAGCAGTTCCACCAAGAACAATGTCGTAAGTAGATACATGTCTATAGTCTAAATGTTACCTGGTAAAACAGCAGTTCCACCAAGAACAATGTCGTAAGTAGATACATGTCTATAGTCTAAATGTTACCTGGTAAAACAGCAGTTTGGCCAAGAACAATGTCGTAAGTAGATACATGTCTGTAGTCTAATTGTTACCAGTGCAGTTCACATACTGTATGACAGGTACAGAAGTGAATTTCTATTTCTCTTGTTATTATTATTATTATTTTTTTATTTTCGCTTTTTCTTTCTTTTTCGTTTATTTAATTATATTTTCAAATAGAGAATATTTGGACTGAAAACCATTTTACGAGAGAACATTTTGTATGAACGTAAAAAGGGGAAGTCAACACTTGGCATGTGGTGACAAAAGTTAAAATCGCGGTCATCTCCGTTCTTCTTCTCTATTATTTAAAGACTATTCACGAAGTATGTTCTTCCAGCTCGCATAGGCAGACGCAAGCGTCAGTCTACCTGGGGCAATAATATCTGCACGCTGATGCCATGGATCCAAGGTTGCACTCAGACGACAACAACACTACCGCCACCTTCAGGTATGTTCACTTTATGTTTAGCAAAAAAATATTATTATTATTATTATTATTATTATTATTATTATTATTATTATAACATGTTTCTTTGTAACAGTATTATGCTAACATGTAGTACACCCACATCATTGTGAAAATTATACTCTTTCAGATTGCAGAAATTGCGACTGTGATTTTCTCCTGGGGGAATGGCGAAGTCGATGTGGTAAGACAACGTCAGCTCTTATACACCCCTAAACCGAACGGTAGAAAGTACTGAACAAACGGTGGCATTTTTTTTTTTTTTTTTTTTTGACGAAGAAAATATATTTTAAATCATTGAATACTAAGGCAATGCCAGTACTTGGACGAGATACCCGTATCCATCAGTTCCATTGTATTGATGACCTACCCTGTGATGACAGTGATTGGTGACTTCAAGCAATGCACATTTATTTGAAATATTTATTGAATTTTTGTAAGTTTGCATATCAAACGTTTTCTCTTTGTCATATGTTCCTAGTTGGAAATTACGAACAATTAATGAAGTAAGAAAGAATATTAAGCACAGACTTGAGACAAGATATACACCACAATACATGAAGCATAATGTTCGATTTCCATTTCGGTTTTCTTCACAGCCTGAAAGGGGCAAACATATTTACCTAAAGAGAGGCACCTTCCTAGCTTATCGATCTGTATGTTTTGTTTTCAGGACAATCCACTCCACCACAAGGATATATGAGCACGAACCGTAAGGATGTATTTTATCAAAACAAACATGCAAGCATATATTTTAACGCGGTTTCTAGAGAAATGCTTCCCAAAGGGAGTAAGAAGTTTGTCAAACTCTGGTCATTTTGCTTCTTGGGACAGAAAAATTGAAACCTAAATAGAGAAAAATTTTCGTGTATATGGCAAACCCTATCTTCTTACTGCGTTCTTTGACAATGGGATGTTTGAACATTTTTCGAGTATTTTCGATATTTCCAGAGTGTCAAGGATGTTCCTGTCAAGAGTGTATTTGCAGGTTTATAAGGAACACATACAACTCTGTATGCTGTGAGTATAAGTTTTCTTTACTGATACGTAAATGACGTAGTCAAACCTTTTTGCCCGACGCACACGTAAAGCTACCGGCTGAGCTACGGGAGCTAGCCAGAATTTAGACGTGGATATATGTTGGTTATGGGATAGTGCGAGCTGCAATCTGAAGTACAAACTTTGGGAGATTTAAGACATAAATTCACTACATTGGCAAGGGTTGATTAACCCCCCCCCCCCCAAAAAAAAAAAAAAAAAATTGTATCAGCGGGGGCAAAAAAAAAAGCGTTAAGTAAGTGGTCATTGAGTGAAAATCTTGGACCGGATTCACCTGTACAAAATAGTGGAAACTGGACAAGTATCATAGAGGACTCTCTCAAATACTGGCCTTTCAAAACCCTGTGAAACTCATGGTCAAACGTTGTGGTCACACCCGATCGTACATGTCCAGTAATCTTACCCACAAAATTAAGGCGGCCCATCAGGACGGGGTGTTTAAATACGGTTCGATCTTGAACTTAAATGTAACAAATACGGTTACACTATAAACATTGCTTACTTACTTACTTGGGACCTCCTGTCCAACGTAGGACATTGGGCGGCAAATAGACATTGCTGCCACTCACTCATTAACATCGTATCAGAACCAACGTGTTTTAATAACAAAACCATAAAATTTGTTAAACTTTGAATAGCGAATTTCATACTTATATATGTTCGTTTAGTGCGTTTGACAACGGAACCGCTTCCAGTGACAGCCCCCTTCAGTGCCACGCCCACAGTAATTGACAACAATTCTACCTCACCAACAACAGTGTCAACAACACAACCCTCGACAACTGCACCAACAACGAAACCAACAAGAGAATCCATGTCAACAGTAACATCAACTGAAACTGCAGCAACAGAACTAACAACAGAAACCAAGACAACTACAGCAATAACATTACCTACAACAGAAACGAAGACAACTACAGCAACAACAATACCAACAACAGAAACCACCACAACCGTACCTACAACGGTTACTGCTCCTATTTCAGTGTCAGTCACGCCGCCGACGACTCCACCGCCGACAACACCGCCACCGACAACTCCGCCGCCAACAACACCGCCACCGACGACTCCACCGCCAACAACACCGCCACCGACAACTCCACCGCCAACAACTCCGCCGCCGACAACTCCACCTCCGACAACTCCACCGCCGACAACACCGCCACCGACCACTCCGCCGCCGACTACTCCGCCGCCGACTACTCCACCGCCGACAACTCCACCGCCAACAACTCCACCGCCAACAACTCCGCCACCGACAACTCCACCGCCGACAACACCGCCACCGACCACTCCGCCACCGACAACTACAGCCCCGCCGTGCCCCTGCAGGAGCCCGTTCACGTTCACTGACCATGCGTGCAATACCCAGGCCGAGTGTGGCGGCCCGTGCAGCTACTACGTGGGGATGCCCTTTGCCAGCACTGGGGCCGCGGGAATGTGCCAGTCTTTTGGGGGACATTTGGTGAAATTTACGACGGCAGCTTGTTGGAGTGCGTTGGAGACTTACCTTGCTGGACAATTGGGTATGTTCATAGTGTCCCTAGGTTCTGAATTGCATACTAAGTTTTAAAATTCTGGAGTGTTTACAGTCTTACANGGGGGGGGGGGGGGCGCCCGCATACTTATCCAAGACTAAGTGGATAATAAACAAATGGAATTATATTAAAGTTGCCTTGCATTATTGTATAAATCGCCTCCTGAATTGTAGATTTTTCATAGACGTGTTTTCCACTTAGAGGAGTTATCGCTTCATTTCCTGTGTCACAGACTACTACACGTAGAACGATGTGAGTAGCAATGACAAACTTCTCGACGGTTTACATGTTACAAATGAACCAGTTCCGATAAAATATTATATTCACATTTATTCCAGGTACAATTTTGCTATTGATACTTTGATATGTAACTGAACCGTGTATTGACATTATAACAAAACAAATGAAACATTATTTACAGATTGCCTCTTACAGTGTATGACTAAACGGTTTTTTGTTGTCTTCCAGGTGCTCAAGACGTCACGATGTTCACCTGTGGCAAAGTGACCAGTTTTAACGACCCCACCCTAGTCATCAACTGGTGGTGTCCTGGTAAGATGAAAAAGAATCGTTTTTTAACGAGTTGGGTGTATTTTACAAAGAACTTAATTCTAAAACTGGTGTTGGCTTTTAGAACAAATTTTAGTCTACTTTCAATAAATTGGTTATAGTCGTCCAATTAAATAAATGATTCTGTTGCACCTGTTTTTATACAAAAACATCGCTATTAATGATACGATTAAGATGAAGTTATGGTACATAAGTTACCACGTATTTATCCCATTCTCTGTCTATTAGGTGTTTGTGGCGGCACCGCGTCCACCGTGAGTATCGACGACTTTGCACGAGCCACGCCCTTCGTACCGCCGACAGCTGGAGACTGCATCGCCGTCCGTTATACCCAGAACAACATCCATCTGCAGTTTGTCGACTGTGCCTCCAACCACCACTTTATCTGTCAAGACACTTGTCCTTGAGGATCGCCATAGAGGATCGCTTTAGTCTAACCTGTCCATGTTATAAAAGCCAAATAATAAGCTTTTGTCTGTTATATAGATAATTCCATGAAATCTTAACGATTTTCAAACAGTATATTTAATCTTGTGATAATTTGTGTTCATCAGAATAGCTTGTGCACAAGACATTCCAAAAAATAAAAAAAAATCGTTTCTCTTTCCATTTCGTTTCTATATGTTTATTTATTTGCTTTTAAGATACAAGAATGACATATATATAACTTAATAGTCGGACATTTATTCCTTGAAACGCACGGTAGATCATTTGCAAGGAAGGTGCGGTTTTATAATAATAATAGTAAATAATAATAATAATAATAATCTGTGGAGCGGAAAATGTATGTACAGATTTGTATAGGGCTACATAAGACCAAGTGATGTTGAGAAGATTGCTCACCAATGCTTTATGAAGCAGGTACTTGATGATGCCGGATATACCTTCTGATATATATATGTCTATTTAGTATCGTGAAAGAAAAGCTTGCATGTCTGATGGCCGCGAAGTTTCTCTCAGCGCTAGTCACTTGTGTTGTGATCTGCATTTGTGCGTGACATCATTCACAAATGTAACTATGGCAGTCACACTGCTCAGTGTTAGAAGAAAAGAAAGCTGCATAGAGTCTAAAAGTGTAAAATCAATAAACAATCCGAGAATAAATTGATCTTTCCGATGCCTCTTATATAATATGTTTTATTTCCTCTTAACAATTTTAAATAACTATCTTATAAAGTTTATTCTCCATAAACGTTTTAGCTATGTATGTTATTGTAAAATCCAAGTATTTTAACAACAATAAATATTATATTTAATTTGAATAAATAAGGAATATGTAACAGATTTGGTGGTATCAGTAATCTTTCTACAGATGTTTTATTGTGCGTTTGTATAAAATCTACTAAATAACGTAAATCAGTCGTCATTGCTGTAATAAACGAAGGGCCATCAAGGGGCTTACCTGTTCGTACTTCTATGGATAGGAGGAGTTAACAGCCACCCTTTTCCAAACTAATCTGTAGCCTGAACTTATTTTCAGGAGATCACCCCTATCGTATTTGAATCCATGATATTAATTCCATAGTATGATAAACGAATATAAGAGTATATAGTGACTTTTTGTGCCATTCAACTAAATCTTCCCCAGATTAAAATGATCAGTTGACCGTAGGCTCCTATTTTGAGGAAATCTTAATTTTTGGAACCTATTTTTGCCAAACATTAGGCCTATGGTAATTATTTGGCACAAACTTAACGATTTTGCTCAGAAAAAAAGCAGTGACATTTCCTTGTGAGGTTAAAAAATATACCCACACGTTTAATGGGGAATGCAACATTTCATAAAGTGTAACAGTTGCCGGTAGAAGGGATGAGCAATCGAAAGCATTACTCCACAATATGTCCATAGATCACAAAATACACCGACTTTTATCCAGATCTGAGACAAATAAAATCATGCCATATAGTCACCGTCGAACTCAAAAATATACAGTTGCAAAACCAAGAACTGTCAAATCTTCAAAGAAATTCCTATCTTGGACACTGAATACTTACAAATATTGGCCTGACTTCTAGGCCCGTATTCCAGAATCTCCCTTTAGCGTTAAGGCAGACTTAAAGTCGACCTTATGCGAAATTTGTATTCCAAGACCTTTCTTTATCTCACTTGAAAGGAATCACTTAACAATCATCCTTAGCAAAGGAATCGGTCATTTCTAGAATCTGCCTTTGCTTAAAGATTTCCTTTATTTTCGGCTGAGGATTCCTTAAAATGTAAGGTTGGTCTGGAGTAACTTTTAGTCTTCCTTAAGCAGCCATCGTGTACAGTTCTCTTGTGAAAATCAGCTCCATGGAGGACTATGTAAACCAACATGCCTACCTAAATTCAAAAACATTAAATTCAACTAGAAAAAGCACTCCGAGAGCGGAGACCTCCGCCAAGGCAGCAAAGTCTCCACCCAATTTTCATTCTATAATGATTTAGTTTTTTTATATTTGATTATTGATAGATTATTTATCCGGATCACCACCAAAAACTAATCATCTGTTCCTTGGCCCACTTGTGACAGTTCCTGAAAATTCTATCACAATCGGCCAATAACTTTTTGAGTTCTTTTTGATTATTGATTGATTATTGATCTTGGTCACCACCAAAAACTAACCACTTCTAATATAATCCATTTCTGACCTACCCTGAAAATTTCATCAAAATCGGCCTGTAACTTTTTGATTTATGTTGATGACAAACAGACAGACAGACAGACAAACCAACAGGGATGAAAACAACATCCTTGGTGGAGGTAACAAAAAGACAGACAAACAAACAGGGGTGAAAACAACCTCCTTGGCGGAAGTTATACATTTGCTCGAGGATAGGCTTTTCTCTGTGACTAGTTGCATCAGTAGCTGCTTTTCGATATCAGAAAAGGGATAATGTCCATATGCACTATTGCATGACTGAAGTTGATCAGTTGACCCCAATTATACAACATTACTGCGGCGTTTTTACCAAGGAGGGTGTCACAAAGGCCTACTCTAACCAATGAGGAGCTCCTTTATGTCAGTGCCCCTTACCTAAAGACTGACTTTTGTCAAAGTAATTCCTTATCAAAGGAGAGGCTAAAGTGTGGTCTTAGCATACCATTTCGTTAGGCCTTCCTTTACCAAGGAACACCTCATCAAAGGAAGCCTTTATAAAAGTTGACCTTAGGCCTATTTTAAGGAACATCTTGGAATACGGGCCCTAGTGAGCACAGGCTTCAAACAACTGCGCATGTGCGAAAAGTGCGCTGTTTGAAATAAACAAGTTGGTGAAATTGACAAAGACCGTCTGGTTGATTTTATTTCATTAGATCTCTGGTGTCTTTTTGAAAATTTATATTAGAAATGTTCTATTGATTTTATGTTGTAAAAAGTAAATCCGTCNATCAAAGGAAGCCTTTATAAAAGTTGACCTTAGGCCTATTTTAAGGAACATCTTGGAATACGGGCCCATATCGTTATGCCTTCCTTTACCAAGGGACACCTCATCAAAGGAAGCCTTTATAAAAGTTGACCTTAGGCCTATTTTAAGGAACATCTTGGAATACGGGCCTAACTCTTGAGGTTGCCAAGCATCAGTATCGTGAAGCCTCCATACTGTTAATTGTCAAGATTTGCTCAGGCTTTGTCATGAAAATGACTGTCATTTATTTTTTTATTGTCACAGAATGACAAATGTTAAGCAAGTAGTGCGCGAATTGGAGTCGAGTCAAAATATATATAATAGAGAGAAGAAGAGAATGGTTAATTATTGCATAGTAAATACCACTTCATTATTAGAATATCAATTTTTTTCAAATTCTTATACAGTATCTGTATAAGTTCATTGTATCAAAGGTTAATTTGAATATTTCAGGCAATTTGGATTTCTTAAAATATACACTTGATAATATCATATATATATCACAGGTAATAAGGATAAGATAGGCTTTAAAGTTTTAATTAACATAATTTCATTACAATATTAATTCATTGTCATATATATACATAAAAGTATAAAATGAAATTCGCCGTGTCTTTACTGTGTTTGCAATTACCAAAAGTTCCTTGTTCACTGTGTACGGAAATACAGGGTACTGGTATGAGAAAACAAGAGAGTATTTAACCCCCCCCCCCCCCCCCCCCTTGGCCTTGGCAGTGGTCGTGGAAAGATCACAGCACGGTATTAAATAAAACAATCTTTCAATTAAGATCGATTTACGTTTCTCTGGATAAACTTTACATCAAACTATACATATTTGTACATATTCTATTCTTTTTTCATTAAAACGTAAATATTGCAGTGTAAATAATTAACATTTAGGCCTATAGTGTTTTAACACATTAAAATGTGCATGACATCATCGCTTCATCTTTGTTAAATTGTACGATTTTGGGCCGCCTACTTCAGGTGATGTAACAGCGCTTCCTTATGACCTGATCTGATATGATTTGACCCGAGAACCATCAGGACAGTATTTGCAAGGGATGTCAAGACACAGTTTGCAAAAAAAGCTACTGCATTTTTTTTTCAAAGAGTAACTTTACAAGCAATAGTTCTTCAGAAAATTAGGTTTTCTTTGTTAATTATCCCTTACGCGAGGAGGTGGTAAAAAGAAGGGAAGGGGCCACCTGCACTTCTGACAGGCCAGTGCAATGGAATAATTAAGAAAGAAAATAGATGAAAAAAGAAATGTCATCCATATGCAAAGTTAAGAGACTAACATGTGTCACATACATGGCTTAAATTATTTATTGACCATTATTGTCAAAACAACATGTTCATTTCAGTAAACATTTTAACTAGATATAACTAATGTTTCATTATAAAGTGAAGTGTATTCACTTATTGTGCAATCACTGGATGCTCAGCTGATAAGTAGGTAAATGCAGAATGTTAAAGCGCATACATTACAGAAATATTTGTGAAAACAATATAACTTCACTCGTACTGGTATAAGTTTTCGTTATAAACTGTTCAGTCCGATATCTGATAGTGAACTCTGTTATTTTTACATTTAACTCTTACATCCATTAAATATGATTATTTCTTTTAAGTTGTATAACATAATATAATAATTCTTACATGTACTTTTTTACATCTATAAATTTATGTATATCCTTCATCAGGCTAACAACGAATATATCGGAAACAAAAAATTCAGGTTCAGATTGATTTTAAATGTTTCCACATAAAGTACAACTAAACAATGCCATGACAGTTTAGTTTAGAGTCACTTCACAAATATACTGCCCTGTTTCGCTACATGTTCGTCCCTTCCACTTTAAACTGCTTTTGTGTTTTATAACACCGCAAGCTTTATCAGCATTCGAGGGTGCCGTCCCGCCGCTGTTACCATTCCAATTAACGTACCCTGCAGTTGAGGAGCCGTCCAACCACGCCCAAGTACCAGGGGTCGACTGTTCCAATCCAATCCAAGTTTTGACAGAAGTAGTTCTGAAAAAGTGAACTAGATCTAATACAGGCCAGGAATAATTATCTAGTATTGTACTTGCAGTTGCGACGTTAAAATATTATGACAGCAATACACTAATAAATACTCATAAATTAATACTCATAAACAACACCAGGTACATTAACTCTTGTTATTTATTTATTTATTTATTTATTTATTTATTTATTTATTTATTTATTTATTTTTTGTGATTCAAGGCAAGTGTAATTTTAATACAGGTAAAACATTCATGTCACCCTGTTCATCACGCCTTTATCTCTCTCTCTCTCTCTCTCTCTCTCTCTCTCTCTCTCTCTCTGTAATGCCTGAGGA